TCTTAGATATGTATAATATATGATTTAATCTCTAAGATATGATGAGTTTAATCCAAAGTATCATCAGGAATATATGCAAGAAATAAAGGGCTATTACATACACATAAAATGCAAAACCAAACAAATAAACAAACTAAAACCACCAAACCTCTGCAAACGTTTGTAACTTTCTGTTGTGTCTTTAGTTGGATATAGGGTTTGGACCACTTGGAACTTCATGGGCTTCGGCTCCGAGCTCTCCGGTCGTCGCAGGGGAATTTCGGAGTCGAGATTCAAATGGTTGGACGGCGGTGGCGGTGGCGGAGGTGGAGAGAAGACGGTGGCGGTCGGCCGCCATGGAAGGGGAGGAAGTGAGGGTTAGAAGGAGGAGGAAGGAGAAGGAGAAGAAGAGAGAGAGAAAGTGAGACGATGAAGATTGTTTTTGTGTAGCAGGTGCCATACAATTTAAGACAAGAAACCACCCCCCAACACCCCTCAATGGTTCAATCTCCATGAACCACCATCAACACCAACCTATGAAGGAAGAGAGAGAGAGGGTAAAGAAGCTTGTAACTAATAGAAATAGGGTTTGTAAATGTCTAAGAACCAAAAAGAACAAAAAAAAAGTATAATATTTGAAAGATGCTTTAAATGGGGTTGAGTGAAAATACAATAATGCCCTTGTAAACACCGTATATATATACTTTTTTTTGGTGGGGGTGGATGAATATTTAGGGCAAGAATTACGTCGTCATCGAGAGAAGATCATTAGTGTTAACTATGTAAAATAGTGTAGCAAAAAATAGTTATTTATCGAGTCGTTTGGTTTCAAAGCAAAAAACCTGCTATGTTCACATGATGTCATTAAAAATAGCTGAGTAAAACGTAGTTTAATCTAAAAGAGTATTATCTAGCTCGAGAATGGGCATACCCTTAAGTAATAGGTGGTAGAGAGATTTTGTACCATTTTGTAATTTTACATTTTTTTATTTTTATTTTATATAAAAAGGAGAGTTATACTTTGACCAACTTTAAGGGAACTTTTCAATTTATTAAAGCTAAATATACTAATTTTAATTTGTTTTTCAAAATACTAAATTACCTTTTTGCCCATATACTTAAGTAAGAGACGGTAGAGATGGTTTATAATTAAAGTTAAATATACCATATGGTAAGAATATAATTTTCAATGGTATTTAAAATTTTAAAACGATATAAAATATGAAATGACCTTTTTGCCCCAAAAATGGTAAGAGATATTTTTTTTTTACCATTTCCTGGTAAAAGCTAGACCTCCAATAACCCCCATTTTTTTAACTTCGAAAACTTTCTACTGTTATTTTATGGGTTAAAAAAGGAAAGTTATCTTTTGACCAAGTTTTATAGATTCTTCAAATAATGGCTATTCTTTTATCTTAGGTAATTCTTAATTTACTTTTTAATATTTTAGAATCATAAAATTTACCCTTAATGCATATAAATTTTTATATTAACGAATTTTAATTAATTTTTATTACATTCTCAAAATTTTAATTTTTAATTTTTAATTTTTAATTTAGTTTTAGACTTATGATTACTTGTAATAAATATATATATATTTATATATTTTTTTTGTAAGTACAAATAATTAAAATCGATAATTAGTGCTAAAAATTTAGAAATGGATTTAAAACAAACATCGAGCCAATCAATGACTAAAAGTATTCTTACAAAAATGTTATAAATGCCTTTTCTTTTGAAATATTAATTTTTAAATTAGTCTCTGCCCATAATCTCCATCTTTATCTTATTTATTAATTTTTAATTTTGAGAAAAGTAAAAAGACCCCTTCCTATGTGCCATATGAGCTGAAACCCAATCGTGTTAGCTATATAGAGAGTCGAGGAGGAAAAGGGAGAATTTCTTCTCCCTATTGAAATCGAGTCATCTAGTCAGACAGACAAAAATTACATTTCTTGTCCTTGTCTCTAACTTCCACCTCACTTAATTTCATGAAATATTATTAGATTTATTAGAATATTTATTATCTATTAAAAATTATTTGATATATATAGGCGAATTCCTACCCTTTAATGCTACATTTACAAATAAATGAGAAATGAAATAAGAGATCAGCTCGAATGTTGTTTATTTAAATTCTCAAGAGGCGCTTGAATAGTAGAGTAGGTCGAGTGTGACTGAACCACTCTAATATAAAGTTAATTAAAATTAGTATTAGTATTACTATTATGCCCTATGCCCTAGATATATCAAAATCACAAACGCCCAAAAGGCGCCAAGTCTCTCAATTGCTCTTGCTCCCCTCGCTCAGCCGCTGGCAGCAAACACCGGCTGCTCACTTCGGTGGACAAGTATGCTTTCTTCTCTTTTGGAATCTAAAGCATAAACAAAAAAAATTCAAGAACTCTTCTATTCCATAACTTCAAAGAAGATTTGAGGACCGAGAATTCTATTTGGTATATATCTCTCTCTCCCTTTCAGTTCAACCATTCTTAATTTTTTTTTTTTTTTTTTTTTTTTTAAATTTTGTTCGAGATGATTTATNTTTTTTTTTTTTTTTTTTTTTTTGAAATTATGTTCGAGATGATTTATCTTATCCCTGGAACTGATCGGCGTTTGTTGTCTTCTCCTTTCCAGGCCATTATTGATCTCCCTGTTCGAGAACCCAGGTAACCGAATTTGATTTTTGAGATTTACGAGACCTTAAAGGAGCAGAAATGGCTCACTCGACAGCCCAGAATGCTGTTAATCTGCTTCGGCGTCTTGGAAGGTCTGGCATGGTTGATGAGGCGCTTGCTGTGTTCTCTGAACTTGATCCACATAAGAAAAACACATATGTTCGTAATGTGATCATTGATTTGCTTCTGAAATCTGGGCGAGTTGATAATGCATTGAATGTGCTCGACGAAATGCTGCTTCCAGGTTCGGAGTTTCGACCCAATGATATAACTGCTGATATTGTTTTCACTAAATTGTTGAAGATAAATGGGTCGGATTGGAGAGTCAAGGAAAATAAAATTGCTGGGTTGGTAGCCAAATTTGGTAAACACCGTGTTGTTCCTAATCCCATTACATTAACCCAGTTGATCTCCAAGCTTTGTAGGAGTAGAAATATAGATCTTGCATGGAGTGTTTTAGATGATTTGATGACATGGAATGGTCTTAAAGATGCTGCACCCTGCAATGCGCTCTTAACAGGTTTGGGAAAGGAGATGGAATTTGAGAAAATGAATTTGCTAATGCGAAAGATGAAGGACATGAATGTTCAACCTAATGTTATAACTTTTAGTATTCTTATCAACCATATGTGTAAGTTCAGAATGATTGATGATGCACTAGAGGTGTTTGAGAAAATGAAGGGCGAAAAGGAGGAGGCTAAGGCCGTTGCGCCTGATGCAATCACTTACAATACATTGATTGATGGGCTCTGTAAAGTGGGTAGACAAGAAGAAGGATTGCGCTTGCTGGGAACAATGAGATCTGATGGCTGTAAACCCAATACTGTTACCTACAATTGTTTGATTGATGGGTACTGTAAGGCAGGCACAATCGAGACAGCCCATGCGCTCTATAATGAGATGGTCAATGAACAAGTCGTGCCAAATGTGATCACCCTCAATACTTTAGTTGATGGAATGTGCAAGCATGGCAGAATAAGCAGCGCGGTCGAGTTCTTCATGGAAATGCAGCAGAAGGGCTTGAAAGGAAATTCTGTTACTTACACGGTGTTCATCAATGCTTTTTGCAAAGTGAACAATATCGATAAGGCAATAGAATTTTTTGATGAAATGTCCAAAGCTGGATGTTTTCCTGATGCTATTGTCTATTATCCTTTGATATTTGGTTTAGCCCAAGCTGGAAGGTTGGACGATGCCACCTCCGTTGCGTCAAGGATGAAAGCGGCAGGGTTTCGACTAGATCTTGTTTGCTACAATCTTCTCATCAGTGAGTTCTGTAAGAAGAACAAATTAGATGAAGCTAATGAATTGCTGGATGAAATGGAGGTGGTTGGAATCAAGCCTGACATTGTCACATACAACACTTTGATTTCTTACTTCAGTAAAATGGGGAATCTAGAATTAGCCCTTAAATTTATGGAAAAGATGACCAAGGAGGCGTGTCTTTTACCGAGTGTCTTCACTTATGGAGCTGTTATTCATGCATATTGCTTGAACAACAACACTGATGAAGCCATGAAGCTTTTCAAGGAAATGAGCGCTACATCAAAGGTTCCTCCCAACACAGTGATATACAATATATTGATAGATTCTCTATGCAAAAGAAATGAGGTCAGTTCCGCTCTTGCTCTATTTGACGATATGAACGTTAACGGGGTTAAGCCGAACACCACAACATATAATGCTATTTTGAAAGGGCTTAAGGAGAAGAAATGGATGGAGAAAGCGTTAGAAGTTATGGATAGAATGGTGGAACAAGCATGTAATGCTGATTATATAACAATGGAGATTTTAACAGAATGGCTTTCTTCCGTGGGTGAAACTGCAAAATTGAAAAGATTTACACAGGGATACAAGGTTTCTGATTTTGCAGCCTAAAGTCGTTGAAAGGGTGAGGTGAGGTGATTTGTTTTGATTAATTGGCATGCTTATCGGTAAATAGTAAAAATTTTCTCATGGCGTTATGTCAAATATCTGAATTCTTAGCGTATTTAACGATACGACTTCGAGGGGAGGATTAGCAAAGGACCTGTTGTTCTTCTAGTTCAGCTGCATCAGGATCATAGCAAAGATGGTGTAATCAGGGACGAATTATGCTCTTCTTTTTGGATCATGATTAGTTTAACAATTAGTCATACCCTTTGTAGTGTTATTCTCTCAAAAACTCTGAAAAAGGAGGTGATGGTGCTTGTCGTTTGATCTATAACCAAAAATGGTGGTGCAGGACTTGGTTTGGTTCAGTCCGAAAATCTACACGAAATACATTGGATAGACATTTATTTTTCTTCGAGAAGTTTCTTAGCTCCCTACTTGATCAAGTACAAAAAATGTAGGCATATTAAATTGACTATAACAGTCATTTTTAACTCGTTCCTATATTCAAAATTTCAAATAATAATATTACTAAATGGGTTGTGTTCGATCGCGTCAAGAATCTCATAAGATATCTAGAATCTCATAAGATATCTCTGAAAGACGAATCTTAAAAGGCAATTACTATATGACTTTGAGACTAAATAACCAACCCAACCCATCATCAGTATATAAAGGCTACATTCACTATAAGTCTTCTATATAAAACAACCAAGAGAAATTGACAAAGACACAATTAATTACTCTTCGTCGCCAAGAGGAGGATCCTGGTTCGGAGCAGTTCCTGAATCAGAGCTGGGATTCGAGAGTTGTTGTTGGTTGGTCGAAGTAGTAGAAGATGAAGCAACCTCGATCGTAGGCGATCTTATCGAAGAAGAAGAAGAGATCGGGCCTTGTACTTCTTTGGCATCACGTGCGGCTTTTTCCTGGGCTTTTTTGGCTCTTTCTATCACCTCCTCCTGTACAAAGTTTGTTTCCAGTATGAATATGCCATTTTCAGCAATATTGAGCTTCATTCACTTCAATCTAGTTTCAGAGGAAATTTAAAATGTTCTTAAGAGAACAATAATGCATGCATAAGGGAATTTTCTTTGCTTTTACTCTTCATACTCTACTCGGTCAATTTTAATCTCAAACTTCCAATCTCATCACATCGAAACTAAATCGAAAGCTGAGCCCCGAACCATGAATTTTAGCCTAAAAACACTCGAAATGAATAAGAAAGATGCTAGAGCCACAGCAATTTTAAGCCAGGCATCATGGTTTCTAAGTAAAAGCTTCAATCCAGGCCTAACCTACAGCTCCACTCAAAAAGCTTTAACCTACCGTAGATTTTCAATGGTTACAGTTTAAACCCACCACTAGCAGATATTGTCCTCTTTAGGTTTTCCCTTCGAGTTTCCCCTCGAGGTCTTCAAAACGCGTTTACTAGGGAGAGGTTTCCACACCCTTATAAGGAATGTTTCGTTCTCCTCCCCATCCAATGTGAGATCTCACAGTTGTCTTATTTTGCTGTTCTTTTTTTTTTTTTTTTTTTTTTTTTTTTGTATAATCCACAGTACAAGAGACCACAATGCAGTGTCGTTTTCTCTTTTGATATCCATTCCTCGACAACTCTCACAAGACAACCTCTTAGACTCGACTAAGTTTAGTTGTCGAGATAGCTCATAGGACATCGGATTTTAAGTTCATTAGTTGGTCAACCCTTTTATCATGTAAAAGGGAAAGTAAATTAAAAACAAAGTTAGGAAGTTCTATCATTAACTTTGGAGCATCTTACTTGGAAATCAAGAATTTGTTTTTGTTGTTCAGCTTGCAGCCTACCAATCCCACTCAAAACTTCTCCAATTGTTGACTCAACGCGCTCGGTTAAGGCTTCTGCTAAAGCTTTTCCTAAGAAAAAGGCATTTAGAACAGTCCTGCTGTCGTCATCACCTGCATCATACAGCTAGCTCGTTGAATGCTTGATAACAGTAACGAAACTGTAAGATCATAGAAACCAAAAAGATTATGTTTCCACTGTGATTCTACAGAATTTTCTTCTAATAAGATCAATATCATGTTCTTAAGATCATTACCATCCCATAAATTCATTAAGCTTCCAAATCTTCACCAAAAAAAGGAAATAAGTGCAATATTTCCTCCTGTAGAACGTGATAAATCTCATAAATTGATCCAAATTCAGAGTACAAAAAGGATCAAGGAGAACAAATTCCTACTTAAGGGGGAAATGGATACTAATCTTATAAAATCAGGCGAACTTCATACTTAATAAAGCCATTGACAATATATCAAACAGTTTGTAGGCATATAATCAGATATGAAATCCAAAACCGATCATTCTTTTATGAAATCCAAAACAAGTGTTCAATCTGCAAACAAAAATCAAGAAAAACGCAGAAATGCCCTCAAATCGGAGAATCAATAGCAGATTAAAACAGATTTCACCACTAAAACCTTCGTAAAATTCGCCAATAACTAAGAACATATAGGAAAACAAAACAAAAACAGAGTAGGCGAAGATTCAAAGTACCAGAGCTGCAACGGACTACGAATCTGGGAGACCCAATTGGTGAAATCGGTCGAAATTTGAGATTTGAAGGAGATGAAAGGTGGGTAATCTTTGGTTTAGAGTGAAGAATTGAGAAATGGGATGGGGAAACTGAAGGTGTAACCCCACTAGTCATTTCTGGGCGACGGGAACTTAAAAATGCGTGGCGTCACTTTCTCAGCGTTTCTCGCTCGATTTCTCGACAGCCAAACAGGAACATATAAAGAAAGATCTTGGGGGGTGGGGAAAAGGAAAGATAAAAATGGGTACTTATGGCTTGGACTGTATGATGTCAGCAACCCGGAAGCGCCCCCTGATTCTTGACAAGAAGGCAAGCACAACGTGGCTCACTCTGGATTATCCAATACCAGCTTCCATGGATGGGTTGTCCGAACTCTGCCTCCAATGACATTTTTTTTTTCTTAATTAGGCTAAAATTAATTAAAAAATATTTTATCTAAAAAATATTCCAAAACTAATTTTAATAATATACACAATTTTTTTAAAAAATTAAAAAATTGATTTATTTCAAAAATATCCTTTTAACTTAAAAAAAAAAATCATTAATACTAGTATTATTTTTAAAAATTACTCTTGAAATTTTAAAATTAGAATTGATATTAGTAGCCTTTATAAAAAAAAAAAATTAAAAAAACTTTTTAGTGTTAATATATGAACAAAATTCTAGGCAACCTCATATATTATTTTTATTTTTCTTTTTTTAATGTTTAAAATTTTATGAGTATTTTATAATATTATTTTTGAAGTTTTTTTTTTTTTTATAAAATATGAAATTCGACTAAAAAAAACTTGTAAGAAAACAATAATTTGTAGCTTTTGAAAATAGGTTATTTTCGAATTTATCTTTTTAAAAATTATTTTTGAAAATAAATAAGACAAAAATAAAACCAATTACCTATTGTATTTTCATGGGTTTTCTGTATTTTTATTTTTAAAAACATAAAATAAAACAAAGAACATTTATTTATTTTCTTTTTCATTTTTTATTTTAAAAAATATATATACCAATGAATTTAAAGATAATAATCATAAATAAAATTTAAAATCGACTGAAAGTATTTATTTATTTATTTATTTCTTCGTATGGCCCAGGCCCATAAAGTAAGCCCATAACTTTACAAGTGAAGTGCATCACCACCCAACCTTGTGAAACGCTGCGTTTTGAGTCCCCCATCAATGCGGCTAAGTCTGGCTATAAATATTCAAACCGATGCCCAGAGCGATTGTTTATGATCATCTCACCATTCTCTGCGCTATATCTCAGCGAGTTCTTCACGCAATCTTTACCGTCGATCCAACTCCGGATGAGTTCCATCAAATTCTGCTTTTAGTAAACCCTAATCTTCCATGTCTTATAATCGAATTTTCCTTCTGCTATTGATGTTTAAATTTTAGTTTCCTGTTTTTGATTTCAATTATTTGTCATCCGGATTGGATGTGTTGCTGCTGCCCTTGTCTTTGATTCTGTGTTATTTCTTGTTGAATTGTTTGATTCCTTTGGTAATTTGGCTTTCTCTTTGCGAGGCTATAATTTGTTTGATTCGGGTTAGGGTTTGTTTTGAAATTGGGGATCTGCTTATTTGGATGGATTTGTGCTTTTTTTTTTTTTTTTTAAATTAATTTTTTTTTTTATTTTTTTTCCCACTTTCCCTAATATTTACCCAGCCACAAACCAATTTGTTAAAAAAATATAAACAAACCAATATGGATCAAAAGAACATTTATTGGCTAATCCCAGAAATCTAAACTCTCAAACGTAGAAAATGAATTAAAATGGGAGAAGGTTTCTGTTACACCAAACACAGAAAAGGCCATACCTTGGTGAACCCAATCCCATTACCTTTCAGATGAGNAATCAGGGTGGAAATTAAACGGGTTTATGATCAGAATTTAGGCATCAGAATCTATATCGGCAATTTTCCTTACACTGCCTGAAGTTCAGCCTTGTTTTGGTTTCACTTAGAATTTTGATAGTAAGGGTGACGCTTTAAACTTGCTTCTATTTTTATAGAACATCGTAATTATGTGGGGTTGGGTAGGTTTCTTAGAATTTATTCCCCAAATCTAATTGAATCGGATGTTTTTTTTATTGATGGGAAAAAAGGGGGTTTAAGGGTTACCAGGAGGGATCATCAGATGGTTGATGTTATTGTGGTTGCCTCCTGTGCCTTTTTAAACTTGTACAGACAAGAGGGGATGTCGTTGCTTTTGCATCTCTGCTTCCTTTTTTCATATCAAAAAGGTTTGATGGAGGGGGGCATTGCCTTTGGAATCCGAAGAATGTGGGTTTGAATCTTCCTTAGGAGAGTGATTTTTTCGATCTTCACATATGCCTAATTTTTTGGTTCGGAAAGTTGTTTGTTGATTTTGCATTGTTGCTGGTTTCTTGTTTGTGTTGACACGTTTTTGGCTGGGTTGGAGGGTTGGTAGAAAGACAATTGGCTAGGATTTTTGCGTAAATATATTTGGATGTTTTATTTGAGTTTTCAATTTTGGCACCTGATATTTGTTTGAATGGGTGTTCTTATAATGGAAATACCAATAGTTGGTGAAATAGTTTCCTGTTTTGTAGTTGTTTGTTTTCCTTAGAAATTGGGACTTTGTATTTATAACCATCAAATTTCTTTTACGCCGTATAAATGCAGGTCAAGGGACTTGTACAGACCTTGGCGTCTTGGAGAAGTTGCTAATAGTTTTAGTCAAGGGTGTATTCCACCAATTACTACTACAGTTACAGTTCTTTGCTTTCCGTTTGTAGATCTGTGATTTTGCTTTAATAAAGACAAGAGTAAGCATTCTGTAGATTTGAATTGGTAGCACAAATAGAGATTGAGAAGCCTCCTGTAGGAAATATATAAGAGCTGCTTCTCTTGGTGAGTAATCATGCAATTGCTTGATATATTTTCAGGTGATATGCTCATATGTTAATCGTATCTTGCATGTAAGGCTACTCTCAAGCATTTGCACAGATAACTTATCATTCATTTATTTGAGGTTGTCTTTAAATTTGGATCAAATTTTTTGTGTTTATGTTCAATTTATTGTTCACAATATGCACTTTGATAATAAGAAATGAAAAACTTCGACTTTGAAATGGAAAGTATTTGCATCAATGGTCATCCGCTCCTGCATGTTGCTAATAATTTTTTGTTTCTACTTCTACAGGTCCTCATTTAAGTTTAGAGCACCTTTTCTTTTGTATGCATTTGTGATTTATGTGTTGGTGGTATGATGTATTTAATCTTTTTCTGTTATATAATTGGTTGCTTTCTTAGTAATAATTGTGAGAATACTTTGTTTCTATTTAGAAACCTTATAAACAAACACTTTCTTGTCAAATTTTTTTTTAGCGGTTTTCATTTTGGTTTTATTTTACTATAAGCATTGTGTTATTGCTGCCGATAAAAAGTGTTCTGATCAATTAAATATGCTTAGTGGTTTACCTAGCGTTCAAGATGGCTGGTGTGAAACGAAGAATTCATAATGATTCAGATATCCTTGCTATGCATAAAGAATTGGATGAAGTCTCCTGCCCTATCTGCATAGACCACCCACATAATGCTGTTCTTCTACTTTGCAGCTCTCACCACAAGGGTTGCAAACCTTATATATGTGACACAAGCCATAGACATTCAAATTGCTTTGACCAATTCAAAAAATTTAGAGAAGAAACTAGGAAGAGTCCACGCCTATCAAGTCCTTTACCTATGAATCCATATAGTTTTAGTAGTCCTCCTACAAACAACCTGGGTTTGAGCATTGATTTGAATGAAGTTGATGAAAACCAAAATATAAATGGAAGAAACACTGCTGCATCTCCTGGATTATCTGTTGTAGTTTTAGGGGATAATGGAACTGAAAATTCTAATAGAACTTTAGACACAACTGAGGGTGGAGATTTAGACACTGCTGGTTCTGGGTTCCTAACTCAGAGGGCTGAGCAGGAAGGTCTGGATGCTGGGAACTCATCTGAGTACTCAAATTTGAAGTGCCCCATGTGCCGAGGAGCTGTGCTAGGCTGGGAAGTTATAGAAGAAGCAAGAGAATATCTTAATCTAAAGAAACGAAGTTGCTCCCGGGAGACTTGCTCATTCTCTGGTAACTATCAGGAACTGCGCAGGCATGCGAGAAGAGTTCATCCGACATCGCGGCCTTCTGTGACAGACCCATCTAGAGAACGGGCATGGCGACGCTTGGAGCGCCAGAGAGAAGTGGGTGATGTTGTCAGCGCTATTCGCTCAGCCATGCCTGGTGCCCTTGTGGTTGGCGACTATGTCATCGAAAATGGAGATGGTATGGTGGCAGGTGAAAGAGACAATGGCACCAGAGATGTCAATGGGCCATTGCTGACTAGTTTCTTTCTGTTTCATATGTTTGGATCGGTTGATGGTGGTGCTCGAGAGCCTAGACCACGCTCAAGGTCGTCTTGGGTGAGGCGTCGACGCTCTGGAGGAGGAATGATCGTACCAGAGCGTCAATTCCTTTGGGGTGAAAACCTTTTGGGAATGCAAGAAGATGTGGATGAGGATTTCCGAATATACATCGGAATGGGCGATGATGCATCACCACCTACGAGAAGGCGGCGTGTAACAAGGCCTGGATCTGATGCAGATCAACCATGAGAGGATCCCCTTCTTCTGTGGTAAACATCTATGACCTTGAGTTGAGGGAGATTTGTTCCCAATGGAGTGTGTTTCTTGTCGGTCTGAATGCCTAAAAAGGTTCACTCTTAACCCCACAGGCAGGCATCATAGCATCAAACCATGTTGTGGGGTCGTGGGGGGGAACATCAAGAATTCACTTGGCCATCGTCTTGATGCAAAATACCGACTCTGCAATCCTTGCATCATTTTTATTTGAATTCAAGTTTATTATATGAATCAAAGTCTGTTTCTAATCTTTGTATATAATGGGATTACGATATTTCATTTGTTCAATGGGTGTGATGGTGGCTTTATTATATAACCTGTCAAGTAGGCCTGCCTGCCTTATTTATTTATGTGGTTACTGAATCCTATGAATATATGCTTGGAAGATTGCATTTGTCATTGTTTTTTTGGCAGGGCGATGACGAGATGGCTGCTTTATGGGATATGCAGGTTCTCTACATTTACTTGCCCATACACACACACACACATATATATATATATGTATCACTTTCAGAATGTGACAGATGAGATGAAATGTTATTTAAAAATGTTATTTAGTCAATATTTGACATTGCCTCGATGTCTATCCATATAGATAGATGAGATGAAATGATGATTTCTTCCAACTATGCCCAAGAAAATGGTTTTAAAAATAAATACCATAAATTATTTAATTGACCCTAAAAATTAATAATAAATTAGTGAACTCGAGAGGTTTGAAATATCAATTATTTAATAGAATGTTGTATAGCGTGCGAGTGTTGCAATTATACAAGTCTCAGGTTTGGAAACAACGCTGTAAATTACGAAAACACCCGTGGTGGCGTTCCAAAATTCCCATTTATTTGGTGCTCCACTTTCTCCTCCGCCGGTTGAGTCGTCAATCGTCGTCGTCGTCGGCGGCGGCGGCGGATGAATATGGAGGGATTTGGGGTTCCTCTTCATCGTCAAACCAGGCCTCCAGGTTTCTTCCATATTATTTCCCCCTTTTTCTTATTCTTCATATACATAACTACTTGCACTCTGCTTTTGATAACGTTCTCTGTTTTTTCGATCCTTCTAAACCATGAACGTTCGATCATCGTCGATGCTCCAACTGGAAATTGTTGAGTTGAGAAATAGGATAATGTAACGTTTTGAAATCTAGAGACCGATAAAAATGTAACATTTTGAGGAGAAAATTTTTTACTTGTGTTGCGGTTGTATATTAAATTGAAACCTAAGTTCGTAAAATCGGTTCCTTCTTGGTGAATTAATTACTGCTTACACTCTTTTGAAAGCTAATAGCCTCCATGTGGAGATACCTTCAGACAGTTCGGAATCAGTCTCATGTGAGCACCGCCTTCAAAGATCAAAAACCGAGACGCAGAGACGCAAAACCATATTGGCTGCAGATGCCCTTCAAATATACGATAATAAAATCCCCATTCATCACAAGGTATTCATTCCACAAAATTTCTTCAGTTTTCAAATGTTGATTCATTTTAATCATTACAAATTTTGCAGTTCAAATTGTTGCAAAGAGTATCCACCGTGAAGGATGATGGAAGTGTTGAGTTTGAAGTTGAAGGAGACATCGAATCCGAATCGATTAATGTTGAATCTGATGAACCCCTGGATGAAGCTGAGTTTGAGTATATAAGGCCTATGCAAATTGTAATGCTCATTGTAGGAACCCGGGGAGATGTGCAGCCATTTATTCCAATCGCCAAGCGTTTGCAGGTAGTCCTGTATATACATCTATATCAGTATCTATATCTATATCTATATCTATATCCATATCGAAAGTTATGTATGTATGTAGGATTACGGTCATCGTGTTAGATTAGCTACTCATCCAAATTTCAAGGAGTTTGTGTTGATGGCTGGCTTAGAATTTTATCCTTTAGGAGGCGATCCTAAACTGCTTGCATCTTGTACGTTCTTCACACACCTTTTTCAAACATATTTATTCTACAAATCTATGAATCAAAATCCTGTTTTTTCTGAAACAGATATGGTAAGAAATAAAGGGTTCTTGCCCTCTGGGCCTTCTGAGATACTCACTCAAAGAAACCATATGAAGGAAATTATTTACTCCCTTCTTCCAGCTTGCAAACAACCTGATGTGGACACTGGTATTCCCTTTCAAGCAGATGCGATCATTGCCAACCGTACAGCATATGGTTAGATTTTGTTGCCCGATTGAATTTTTAAAAATTATGTTGTACAACGTTGAAATATATTGATTTATTAGGATTTTTTTAAAAAAAAACTTTAAAATAACTATTTTTTAAAGAATAATAAACGTGAAAAATGTTACCGTGGGGAACCCAATCCCTGCCTCGATCCCCACAAAAATGTTATCGTGGGGAATGAAGTAAGTAGTGGGGATGTGGGGATGTGGGGATGGGGAAGGCTTGCTTGTCCCTGCCCTGCTCTGTGGATATCTTTAGTCCCCTATAGTAAACTACGAGGCAAATGTATTGCAGGCATGAACATGAAAAAGTCGAGAAAATAAACAAAACTAATTACATGGCACTAACATAGGGTAGGTGAGGATAGGGCCGTTACTTTGGACAAGCATGACCAAGACACTCATGTCGGTGTTGCTATTTAAGCAAATTCTTTACTTTGATAACTAAACTTTTTGATACTAATTTCTCATAGACTCTGTTTTGTAGGGCATACACACGTTGCAGAGGGACTTAAGGTGCCACTTCATATATTCTTTACCATGCCATGGACGTAAGTCGTGTGGGTGATGAATCATTACCTGCTTCACTTGTTGTAATGCTTATAGTATAGTTGTATGCTCTCCTCCAGGCCAACTACTGAGTTTCCACATCCATTATCCCGTGTGAAACAACCGGCAGGGTATAGGGTGAGTCTGTTGGTTGCTTTTGAATATTCATTCACTTTGAATATTCATTTAAAGCTTTGATTCTCCTTCATTTCCAGATTTCATATCAAATCGTTGATTCCTTGATTTGGCTTGGCGTGCGGGATATCATTAATGATTTCAGGAAAAAGAAGCTGAACATACGGCCTGTAACATATTTAAGTACTTCACGATTCTCTGAATCTGATGTGCCACATGCTTATTTGTGGAGTCCCTACCTTGTTCCTAAACCAAAAGGTGGTGATTTTTACACATTTTTATTAGCCAAGAATGCAATATTTGGATGACTTTTTTATTTCCCTTATTTTTAGATTGGGGGCCTAAGATTGATGTTGTTGGATATTGCTTCCTTGACCTTGCATCAAATTATGAACCCCCTGAGTCAATGGTGAAATGGCTTGAAGCTGGGGACAGCCCTATTTATTTTGGTTTTGGTAGCCTTGTAAGTTTCTTGCTTCTTCCTCAAACAGTTGAAACTATCATACAAGCATCATGGTTTTAGCTACTTTTTTTTCACTTGTTCTTCAGCCTGTACAAGAGCCTGATAAGATGACACAAATTATCATACAAGCATTGGAAAGAACTGGACAGCGGGGTATCATTAACGAAGGGTGGGGTGGCCTCGGGAGGTGTAAGTGTTTATTTTCAGTTCACTGCACATTATTTATGGATTGCTTACATGACTGAATATTATATCTTCCCAGTCGCAGAACCCAAGGACTTCGTATATTTGTTAGACAATTGCCCTCATGATTGGCTTTTTCTCAAATGCAAGGCTGTGGTAAGGCTTGATTGTTGCTTTGAATGTATTTTACTGCCTACATATTGTGTTATTTAAGCATTGCAAGGGTCCTTAGGTGCGGTTAGGAATCACGACTCTCCACAATGGTATGATATTGTCCACTTTGAGCATAAGTTCTCATGGGTTTGCTTTGAGCTTCCCCAAAAGGCCTCATACCAATGGAGAGAGAGTATTCTTTGTTTATAAACTCATGACCATTCCCTAAATTAGCCGATGTGGGACTTTCATCATCCAACACCTCCCCTCGAACAAAACACTTCTCATTGCTTTGCTTTGGGCTTCCCCAAAATGCCTCATACCAATGGAGATAGTATTTCTCCTTATAAACCCATGATCTTCTACTAAATTAACGAATGTGGGACTCACTCCCAATAATCCTCAATAGGTGCATCATGGTGGTGCTGGAACAACAGCTGCTGGCCTTAAAGCTGCGGTACTCGTTTCATCCGATACGTGTTTTGGGTTTATAGTTCAATATGATTTGGTTATGATTTTCATTGAATTCCACAGTGCCCAACTACAGTTGTTCCTTTCTTTGGTGACCAACCTTTCTGGGGGGATAGAGTACATGCCAGAGGGGTCGGCCCTCCACCTATCCCGGTTGACGAGTTCTCGCTTCCAAGATTGGTGAATGCTATAAACTATATGCTCGATCCCAAGGTAAAACCGAGATTCCCTTCTATTTAGTCTTTAACTTAATTCAAGAAAGTTTGGGATAGTTTGGTTGATTCTAGTGAAGTATATCAAGCAAGTGACATGACAGGTAAAAAGGCAGGCTGTCGAGCTTGCAAAGGTTCTTGAGAATGAGGACGGGGTCGAAGGAGCTGTGAGAGCATTCTTCAAGCAACTTAGATGGAGGAAACCCGAGCCAGAGCCTGAACTTGAACCTCAGAGGTCAAGTCTTTTGTTTATAAGAAAATGTTTTGGTTGTTCTTGAATCTTGGATAGTGGCGATTCTCAATTCACTTTGCAAGGACCATTTTTTGCTGATCTTGTGAAGTTTATCATCGTTACATAATAACATTATTTGTATAAATTGTTGTAAAGGCTGAAGCTAAACTCTTGAATGTGTGTATTGTCAATCAGAAAAAAGAACAAATAAAGCTCACAAGAATATGTATAAATACCTGTTACTAGCATGAATGAACACTATCAGCATGTTCTTGTAAAAAATAAGAGAAAAAGTGAAAGAGAGTGGAATATAATGATATTAGTGAAGATCATCATGATTTTGAAGTGACAAAAAAGGGATCAAAAAGGGGTACCAATTTCACTTCTTGTTTCTGTTGGGCTGTACAGAGCAGATCTGTTTCTTGGTCTGTTCTCTTCCAGCTGCTTCACAACTTCATCCATGGAGGGTCTCACAGAAGCCACTGGTGCGCAGCAGCCCATTGCGAGCTTCAACGCCTGAACCACTCCATCTTCCATGGGACTTCTAATCCCTTTCAAAACCTCCACATCAAAAACCTCCATTGTTGTCTCCTCCAGAACTGCCACTTTTACCATTGACGGCAGATCCACAAACTCTCCACTTCTTCCACTCTTCCCTGGCTTCTTCCCAATCAGAATCTCTAACAGCAAGATCCCAAATGCATACACATCTGTTCTTGAATTGCATTTCTTCATCCTTTGCAGCTCTGGTGCCTTGTACCCGTCCGACTTTGCAAGCGATACAATCTCGTCAGCTACCGATGGAATCATTAGCTTGTCGAGCCCGAACTCTGTCAGTCTCACTGTAAAGAAGTCGTCGACAAGTACATTTTTTGATCTCACATTACCATGTGTAATGGGGACTTCAAGACCGGTGTGAAGATGAGCTATTCCCCGGGCGACGCCTAACGCAATCTTGTGCCTCCTAGCCCAGTTCAACACTGGTTTTCCTGCTCTAGATTCTGCATTCAATCAGAAAGAAAAAGAATTCTCTGTTGATATAGCAATACAGCCATGAAATGAAGCATTAGAGAATGTGCATACCATGAAGAAAATCATGTAAAGTTCTGATGGGCAGATAGTCATAAATGAGCAGCTTTTCTCCTCTCTTTCCCTGATAGAACGCTCTCAAAGGAATCAAATTCTCATGGCGAATCTTTCCCAATTGTTTAATCACAGACGAGCAAGTGTTTCTGTCTTTGCAACTACCTTCCCTCAGGAGTCTCAGAGCAATGGTACCTCCATCAGCAAGCTTTGCTTTATATATCGTGCCATAGCTCGTTTTCTCCATAACCTGCCCTGTAGCATTCAAGACATCATCCAATGTCAAATGCTCACCACCCGGAAACAAAATGAGCTTTCCTTCACCACCTGTGCCCCCGCCGGTACCGCCACCACCATTTTCTTCATCTTCTCCTTCCTCAATCTCATCTTCACTCTCAGTTATCTTCTTCTTCTTGTTTTGCATATAACCAATAAGCAATGAAGCTAAAACAACCGTCCCAGTCATCAAGCCGATAACAAGACCAGCAATGGCGCCTGAACTCAAATGAGAAGCTCCTGCACAGCTTTTCAAAGGCTCCCCACAAAGCCCAGGACTGTTCCCTTCAAAAGCCTCCACACCAAACTTTGAGTTATTACTAAACACAGGCAACATTCCACTGAAGTTGTTATTTGAAAGGTTCAACTTCTCCAGCTCTAACTGGCCTATGCTCTGAGGGATTGGTCCAGACAACAAATTGTTCCCAAGATCAAGCTCTTTCAAGCCCTGAAATCGAGTAATGAATTCTGGGAAAGTACCTGAAATCTGGTTGTTGCCAAAATCCAAAGCCTCCAACCTCTTGCAGGTGGAATCTGGTAAAGCCGGCTCAGGCAGAGACCCAGATAATGAATTTCCATCAAGCCTGACAGAAACAAGTTTATCACACAGATTCCAGATCGAGGGTGGAAAAGCTCCACTCAACAGATTGCTACTCAAATCAATGTCAGAAAGAGAGGAGCTATAACCAAGTTCGAGTGGAATGGGTCCAGTCAAAGAGTTTATGTTGAGATAGAGACTTTGGAGCATGGTGAACTCACCAATCTCCTTAGGCAAGGAACCAGAGAGGTTAGCAGAAGGAAGTTGCAGGGAGAGAAGATGAAGAGAAGGGTCTTTGAAGAGAGTGAGATTAGACCACTGGGGAGAAGAAGAATCACTGCAAACCAGAGATGTTCCATTAGAGAAGACCCATTTGAGTCCCCTCCATTGACAAAGTGGCAAAGAGTAATTCCATGAAGACAAAAGCAAGTTCTGAGTATCACCTTCAAGTGAAGCTCTGATCTTTTCGAGAAGAAGCTGAACATCAGAAGAAGGGAAATGCAAGGAATCACCACCTCGAACAGGGGCTCTGTTCAACAAGAAGAATGAAATACAGAGAGCAAAAAGCTTCAAAACCGCCATGACTATGGAGAAAGAGGAGAAAAATGGGGAAAGTTAGTAGAATCAATCACCAAGAGAGCTTCTTTTATCTTTTTTACTGGAAAAAGCTGACAGAGTGTTGACTATGAGTGAACTGATAGTCCAATTACTCATCCTCCCATAATCTCCACCGTCCGATCTGTACAAAGACAAACATCAGACAGATTAAAAACATCTTGGAATGGCAAACCGATAGGTATTATTATAATCGTTTACTCTCTTTATTTCTGTATTTTTTTTTTCTTTTTAATCTTTTGTTTCTGCACGCTTGCCCTTCTTCATTTTCCTTTTTCCATTTTTGTTGGGTTTTTCAAATTTGGTGTGGAGAAAGAGGAGAGAGAGAGATTTCCCCATTGAACAGCCCACCAAGTTTCATCCTTTTTTTAACGGATAGTTGCAGAGGAGCTCTGGGTGGGACGCAACTCTCATCACTTGACACGTGGCTTGTTATAAATGATGATGAGGATCAACAATGGTTGTGTGAGAGTGTGGAGTTCAATCCATGGAGCTCACATGCAGAGTTGCATTTCTTCTTTCGGCTCTGGGCCATCCATGCTTGCCCCAAACAAGCATACCGTTGGAAATTGTTCGGGTAAGTTGGGGATTTTAAGGCAAGTTTTAGTCTTGCAATTAAACGATTATTTTATTCAAACAAGTTACATTCATTAATAGTTTATGCTAAATTTTAGGATAAAAGAACTTCAGATATAATTTACTAAATAATAAATAATATAGTAAAAATCCAAATCATCAAATAACTTTTTCATATTTTACTTTAGTTCTTGAACTTCGACATTTTTTTTTCATTTTAGTGCTTATATTTTCAAAGATTCTAGTTCGATTCTTTCTGTCCTAATTTACCATATTATCGATTAATAATTATACTGAGCAACTTGAATGAATCCCAAAAAAAATTATAAAAATAAAATAAAAATCATTATTTATTCCACGACTTTCTACCGTAGGATAACATAAAACCAGATCATAGAAGTTTATTTACTTGGATGGCTTTACCCTTAGCTCCCAACCAAATCTTCCTCCTACCTTTTTCCCATTTACACTCACGCCAATGTTTAGCAATCAACCATTCCTTTTCCATAAACAAATAATTATGTATCTTATCCTGGACGATAAAGGAGAAGCATTGTGATATGATCTTTCTGAAAGCAATCTTATTTTCATTATGGTTCTCTTACCACTAATAAACTTAGCTTTATAATAAAGTTGGAAATATGAGAACTTTTTTTAAGACAATAATTGATAAGACAACACTAACTCTTAAGATTTTGATATAAGGTATCAACAAAGATAGAGCTATAATATAAAGTTCAAGTACAGGAAGAAAGATCAAGGCAGTCTATCCTCAATTCTAAATTTAATTCCATTTTAGTGTTAGGTATAGAGAGGATGAAACGGAAAGACAAAATTTTATTCTCCATCATCTTATAGAATCGAGGACGGTTTCAAGATTATATTACCCCACTTGTTATTCATACTTTTGAATGTCCTTCGAATGTCCAAAGGATTGAAATAAGGTTCTAAATCTAAAAATAAATTAATTAAGGGCATAAATTTAAGAATTAAAATAAGGTTCTAAATCTAAACCAAAATGATTGAAATAATAGGCCAGGGTGGGTCTAAAGGACTGCCCATTATGGGGGTTTAATCATTTATTACCCAACTTATTTAATATTTTACTCAAACAAATAATTTCAAATCAGCTTTCATTCTAATATTTTTAATCTCTAGAGATAATTATAGAAAAACAAAGGTACTTCATTTAAAAAAAATTTAATTAAATATACAATCTTTTTTTAAAAAAGAAGAAGAAGAAGAAGAAAAGCAAAGAAGGCTATTGAAACAGAGGCTTTTGAATTCAAAGTGAGAGGCCATCAGCTTTTTGGTATAGCCAATCCATAATTTGAGTGGCCCCAAAAAAGTAAAAACAAAAGGGGTTTTCATTACAATTCTTTGATGGCTTCAAATTGGGTATCTTAAAATTCAAACACCGCAGAAACTTTGCAGCCAATCACAATGAGTTGTGAATCATAAAAAGAAGAAGAGAAGAGAAGAGAATTATGAAGATGCCTGAATTGAGGAACAAGAACTCTAACCTGAATAATGATGTCGCAGCCTCATGGCTTACTGCTTTCTCCACAGCCTTTGTGGCTTTGATACATTTTGTTCAGCATGGTGGAAGCATCCTCATTACCTGTTTGATGAGATTGGAATTGATGCAGAGTTATCAGAACTCTAAAAGAAAAAACATGCACAGGAACTTGTAATCAACCACATGAACCAAAAACAAGAAGGTTCTAATGAGATTGGAATGTTTGAAAAGATTCTCATTGTCTGGTGGAGCGGACTTCAGCAACACAATGATTTGGCATTTGTAAATCAGGGAGATGAGCTTGCTTTATTGAAGCGTGACAATCCTAAGTGGATACTGTGGGGCTGTAATGATTAATCCAAGCGCCCTTACAAGTATAATTTCCCAAACAACCATACATATTTGACAGAGCAACGCAGGATTACCTGTTATGAAGAGCCAACTCCATTGACGTCTAAGCCACACGCTCACCCACTTCTATGATCTTGTGCATTTCGCAAGCACCAAGGCACCCTCTCAAAGACCTGAAGTCCCTTCTCAAGGCACCCTCTCAAAGACCTGAAGTCCCTTCTCAATGCACCCTTATTTGAAATACATGTTCACCAAAGCAGAACGGGGCTCATCATCCATCTCAATCTCATTCTTTCGTGCATATAAATGGATCCATTTCCCCAATTCTAATGCACCAATTCGAGAAATGTTAGGCAAAATACTCACCGAAGTCGCATAGTTTGGAGCAAGATTCGAAATTTGCTTCTTCAATCATGTTTACAGCCTCCATGAAATGCCCCTTTTGAGAATACCCCGATATCATCACGTTCCATGACACTTCACTTCTCTGAGGCATTTCGTCAAACAGGCTCTTAGCATTCTTTAAATCCCAAGTCTAACATGCCCATCGAACATCATTGTCCACAAAACAACACTCCTATCTTGTCTCATCTTCCATGAGCGCACGCATCGCATACATTCGAACCAGATGACTAATTACAAACTCATCCCCGTCAAAACCAAACTTTACGATCAACCCATGTACCTATTTCGCCTCTGAAAGCCTCGAAGCTCTAGCGCAGGCCTTCAATACAGAAGGGAATGGGAACCGATTGGGCTTCACATGCCGATCGCACAACATGTCGCAAAAAAATATCGATGACTCCGATTGATAATGTTCTCCGTTACACTCAAAAGCTCTCACAATGGTGTTCCAACACAAGCAATTAAGCTCCGGCATCTGGTGGCGATATCAAATTGCTAAGAAAAGGCAGAATCTGACCACTTTAGCGTTACCCTACTAATGTTAACGGTAAATTTAAGAGACTTAACAAATAACAAAAAAAAAAAAAAAAAAAAAAAAAAAAAAAAAAAAAAAAAAAAAAAAAAAAAAAAAAAAAAAAAAAAATGATAATTTCTTTTTCAATAGGGTCAAATGTTTTTTATTTAAAAAAAAAAAAAAACATAAAAACTAATAACAACAAAACTAACTAACCAACTCAACTAATAACAAGAAAAACTAACTAAAACAAAATTTGCTACCTCAACACTTCCTCCCAATCGAGTTCACAGCACTCATCCCAAACGCTTCTCTGATCTTTTGAAATGATGCCAACTTCAAAGGATTTGTCATTATGTCGACCAACTGCTCCTTAGTGCTGCAATAGACCAATTTAATTACACCTTCCTTTGTCAATTTTCTGAGAAAATGATATCGAACCCTTATGTGCTTTGACTTTCCGTGCATGACTGCATTTTTTTGATAACTTGATAGTGGATGTGTTGTCACAAAACAAAATCATCTCTTCATTTTGTTCATGCACGATTTCTTTCAATATCCTTTTCATCCAAATGGCTTGACAGACACATGTAGCTGCTACTATATACTCTGCTTCAGTTATTGACAACGTGACGATTGGTTGCTTCCTTGAGGACCATACCACGGCTCCTCCACTCATTAAGAAAACATAGCCTAAAGTCCACCTACTGTCATCCACATCTCCTGCATAGTTACGGTCGGTGTAGCCTAAGAGTTCACTCTTCCCTTCACGTTGATACCATATCCCAAATTTCAGAGTTCCCTTCAAGTACCTCATGATTCTTTTTGCAGTAGCAAAGTGCAACTCAGTAGGATTTGCCTAAAACGACTAATAAGACTTACCACAAACATCAAGTCAGGTCGTGTGGCTGTGAGATACATTAAGCTACCCACCATTTGCTTATATAGTGTTGAATTGACCTTCACACCAACTTCATCTCGGCCAATCTGCTGTCCAGGGACTATCGGATTACAAATAGAGTTGTAATTTTGCATCCCAAACCTCTCGATCAACTCAGCAGCATATTTTCTTTGACATATAAAGAATCCATCCGCCTTCTGCATCACTTCAATGCCAAGAAAATATCTCATCTTCCCCAAATCAGTCCGAGTTCATCCATCATGGAGTGCTTAAAACTCATTCAACAACTCCTCATCATTACTAGTGAACAATAGATCATCAACATAAATGCTCACAATTAGAATTTTATCTCCCTTTTGTTTGATGAATAATGTTTGTTCACTAGAGCTACTTACAAAACCTTCCTTGACGATATAGACCTCAATGCGACTGAACCAAGCTCTAAGCGCTTGTTTTAGTCCGTAGAGAGCCTTTTGCAGCTTATAAACCATGTCCTTCTTCCCTGCTACTTCATAACTTCGTGGTTGTTCAACAAATACATCTTCCTTCAGCTCATCATGTAGAAAAGCATATTTAACATCGAGCTGATAGATTCCCCATCCTTTTTGTGCTACTACAGCAATGATCATCCTCACTGTATCCATTCGAGCCACTGGTGTGACTACCTCTGTGTAATCTACTCCGTACTCTTGAGCATACCCTTTTACAACCAACTGAGCTTTGTACTTGTCTACCTCTCCAAATTTATTTAATTTGGTCTTGTAGATCCACTTAACCTCAATAGTCTTGGCTCCAACAGGAAGTGCAGTCAGCGACCACGTGTGGTTTCGTTCGATGGACTGTATCTCAACATCCATCGCTTGTTTCCATTTCTGATGTCCTACGGCTTCTTGAAAATTGGTCGGATCTGATATGGCCATGAAAGCTAGAGTTTCAATCTCAACTCTAGCCATGTTTGCTTCTTCCTCTTTATCTGATATCCCTTCTCCTGTGATATAATCTGCAGACCAGATTGGTGGTTTTCTCACCCTGCCCGTTATTGCTGTTGTTTCTCTAGTTGGTGGATCGTTTGGTGAAGGAACGTCATCAGTGTATTCTTCTGCTTCTTCCGCTTCCACTGCATTCTCAACATTTTCATAATCATTTTCCCACACAAGTTCATTGTTTTCTTCACCAGAATAACCAACATCTTCCCAATTCCACTTTTTATCTTCCTCAAATATCACATCTCGACTGATGTAAACTTTTTTCTCCACTGGATCGAACATCTTAAAGGACTTGGATTCATTGCTGAAACCTAACAGAACATACTTCACGCTTTTGTCATCAAGCTTGCTTCTTTTAACATCAGGGATATGAACATATCCGATACATCCAAAAATCCTAAAGTGTTCGACTGATGGCTTTCTTTCACTCCATGACTCTTCCAGAGTCATATCTTTTACAATGAGTGTAGGAGATCTGTTAAGAATGTGATTCACTCATTGCACAACATCTGGCCAGAAAACTTTTGGTACCTTCTTCTCTAATAACACTGCTCTCACCATGTTCATGATTGTACGGTTTTTACTTTCAGCAACGTCATTTTGCTGAGGCATGAAGGCGGTGGTCAGCTGTCTTTTGATTCCATGCACTTTACAGAATTCTTTGAATGCTATTGAATTGTATTCTCCTCCTCTATCTGTTCTTAGACATTTAATGAACAATTCAATTTGCTTTTCTACAAACACTTTGAATGTCTTGAATTGATGAAATGCTTTTGATTTTTCTAGCACAAAATATATCCATGTTTTTCTCGAGAAATCATCAATAAAGCTTATATAGTACTTTATTTTATTGTTTGATGATGGGTTGATCAGACCACAAAGATCAGAGTGGATAAGCTGTAATCTTTCAGTGGCTCTCCACTTGCTTTGGATCGGACATGGAACACGGTGGTATTTCCCTTTGACACACGCCTCACAGATAGTTTTCACATCTCCAATTTCAGGTAAACCCACAACCATCTCTTTATTGCATAATGTGTGAAGTCCCTTGTAGCTGAGATGCCCATATCGATGGTGCCACAGCTCTACCTTGTCTTAGATATCAACTTGCAGACATCTCTCCTCCTTTGTTTTGTTATTTGATTCACTCAGGATAAACATACTATTAGCACTCATAACAGATTATGCTATATTTCCTCTTGAGGAATGAAAAATGTTGCATGTGTTTCGATCTCCTCCTTTGAATAGCACGTCTAAACCCCTTTCTTGAAGTTGTCCAACACTAAGCAGGTTGTTCTTCCCTTAAGTACCAACCACCATCAGCTTGTGATTGTTCCCAAGCTTGACGTTATGTGTGAAGCTATTGTTCAAGCTTGAGAACATACTTCTTTCTCCACACATATGATTTGAACACCCAGAATCCACGAACCACACATCTCTTCTTTTAGTGCCTTGAAGCTTCACATGTCACGAGAATAACTTCATCCTTTTCTTTGATCTCTACAAAATGTGCTCCATTGTATCTAATTGGACATTCATATTGGAAATGTCCAAGTTGGTGGCAATTGTAACACTCGATTGTTGCTTTGTTGAATGAGCGCCCTCTGCCCCTGCCTCGACCTCTGTATGATCCTCTGCCTCTGCCTCTGACATTGAGAGCTTGATAACCTTCTTCATGACTGATCTTCTTGAATTTCTTTTCATGTATAGACAAAGAGCTTTGCAGTTCGTCAATCGTATCTTTTTTGTGTCTTTTGACTCCTCGATGGCTACCACCACATATGTGAATTTTTCAGTCAGAGTTCGAAGTATTTTCTCAACGATCTTCAAATCTAACATGTCTTCACCGTTGTTTTTCATCTTGTTGGAGACAGTCATTACTCTTCCAAAATAATCGTCGATGTTCTCTTCGTTCTTCATTTCAAGAACCTCAAAATCTCTTCTTAAAGTTTGGAGAAGAGACCGCTTCACTCTTTCGTTGCCCCCAAACTTTTTCTTCATCGAATCCCAAATGTTCTTGGGATGTTTTGCGATTCAAGATCTATTCAAACACAACCCAATCAATTGCTTGGAACAGATAGTGCTTCACTCGATGATCCTTCATCTTGAACTCATCAAGATTCCTTTTCTGCGCTGCAGTCACTTCGATTCCCTCTGCCGGTTCGGTGAATCCCCCTTCCACTAGACTCCACAAACCCTTGGGTTGGTTAGTGCTTCTTCGAGGATTGATGGCGGTTGAACCGAGAAAATGACGGTCCCGTTTGGGTTGTAAATCCACCGATTATGGCACTCTCGTTTTATAATCCTAAGGAAATCAACTTTGTTTGATTTATTAATCGGTTCATAGGTAATTTTCTAGTTTAATTTCAAAGAGATATTAAATGTACTTCAATTTAAAACTTTATCCGACCAATAACCTTCAGAGATCACCGCCACCGCTCACCTTCGGCTATCGCTCTAGCACCACCTTCCACCGACGCACGACCACCATTGGCAACTACCACCATTGCCAACCAAATTTGTAGCCAAAATCCCATTTCGGCGGCCCGATTGTACAAATTTGAACTTATCTGGTGTCCTCCGATCAATAATCTCCGTAGAGATAGCAACTTTGTCAAAAATAATTTCATTAGCAAAGAGTTGGGTAGATCCACCAAGAACAATCATCAAATGGTTCTCTAATATACTCCAAAGGTCACATAATAACAATAATATTGTTATATGGTACAAATTAAAAGGACCTTAATTCACAATAAAAAAACCTACCAAATTTATCCCAATTATCCCTCTCCATATTATTCTTCATATCATCACATCTTTTGCTGACATAGAAAGAGAGGAATCAAAAAGCTTCTCAATAACGCAACACCCTCTTTTATATATATACGTATGCTTGCTTTTATCTGTGTTCTTCATGCAGTGGTCAATGGCCCTTTACAATCTTCAACAGACAAGCTGATGGAAACATGCAGTTGTTAATGGCTGTTTTTGAGGGAAGAGAGACGTGGGTTTTTTCTCTCTCTTACTTCTTCACTGCCTTTTCAAGGTGGCGACCGCCATGGGTGAAGATGTCGAGCCCTTTCTCTGCAACTTTCCCGGCCTTTTGCTGTCGGGTTTCGACCCCAGTTGCCGTACTTTCACTCCTCGAATCATCTGTTACAGTATTGAGCTCACTCAAATATTCATGGACCTCTACCTAGGTTGTACTCGCGCACCCGACTCGAATATTCACTCATAACTTCTACTTAGGTTATTATAACAACCTTAGCTCATTGTCGGCCGATATTTGTCCATTTTTGTCTGTTACGTACGGCCATTAATCTCATTGTTTTAAAAGAGGTTTCCACACCTTTGTAAGGAATGCTTTGTTTCCCTCTCCACTCCCACAATCCACCCTGGTTGGTTTCCCTCTCCACTCTCCCAATCCACCCTTGTTGGTGTCTGACTTTGACACCATTTGTAACAACTCAAACCCACCACTAACAGATATTGTCCACTTTAACCCATTATCCACCCTCTTGGGGATCCAGCGTCCTCGCTAGCACACTGTTGGTGTCTGGCTTTGACACCATGTGTAACAACTCACGCCCACCACTAACGAATATTGTCCACCCTCTTGGGGGTCCAGCATCCTCGCTAGCACACTTTGGTGTCTGGCTTTGACACCATGTGTAACAACTTAAACCCACCACTAACGGATATTATCCACATTGACCTATTATTATCCACCCTCTTGGGGGTGGAGCGTCCTCGCTAGCACACTGTTGGTGTCTGGCTTTGACACCACGTGTAACAACTCAAACTCACCACTAGAAGATATTGTCTGCTTTGACCCCCCACGTTGCACAGTCAACCTCACGATTTTAAAACGTGTGTACAGATAGGTTTCCACACCTTTATAAAAAATGTTTCGTTCCCCTCTCCACCCAACGTGGGCTCTCACCGTTACACTCATTTTGAAAGTACAAGAACTAAAATGGAACGAAGTAACGAAACCGAACAAGAACGAATCGAAACTTACATATTTCCCGCACTTGACATCCGAGTAGATGACAATAAAGTCTCCTTCTTGAAGGCCATTGGCTCTCACAAAGTCCCCTATAGAAATTTTAAATTTTTAACAAAGATCATAAAAAACATTAAAATGGGTTCTCCCCTAACATTCATTCATTCATTCATACCTGTGTTTTCAAGCAGATACATTCGGCTTTTGTTGTTTGGCCAATACCTATAATTAACAAATAAAAATGATTAATTAATTATTTTACAATTTTCCAGTTGAATATTAAATGTTTATAGCATACCTATAACGCATATTCCAAACTTTGGATGTTCCAATATCTTCCATGGCAATGGAAATGCCATCTCTTGCCTCCAATTCTGGGAGATGAGTTTCTGCTTCTTTCTGAAACAAAACCCAGAAAATATGAACACTTCGAATTCGAGTTCGGGTTTCGGTTCGATCTAAAATTTTATTAGAAAAGTTCTCCATTTATGTTTTTGGGTACCTTTGGCAATACAATTCTCCCCAAATTTCCCACATCGCTTTGCTTCAACACCTTCTGTAAAAGAAACCTCAAATTCTTCTCTGATTTCCATCCCTAAAAAAACACAACATTCTCAATCAAATCTCCCTAAATTATAATCTATTGTATGTTAAAAGACTCATAGAGTCCAACCTGTCGCCGATGCGTCGGGATCGGCAGTGGAAAGTTCTGATTAAGCCGATCCACAGAATGTACAGGAGACGAGTCCACCGGACAACCAGCACCGGCACCGGTGGGGGATGGCCAGTAGACCCAGTTTGCAGAATTGGGCTGAGCAGTTGTAGCCATGGTGCAATGATCTGAAGCATTAGTATTCATTTGAGTCGGATGCTGATTCTGGTGGCCACCGTGACGGTGGTGAGCTGAAAATCGCCGCTGCCTCGCCATTCTCTTCTTCCGAGCCTCCTTTGTGGCGGAGGAATCCAGCCTAACTAAACTAGTATCACCACCACCACCCTGCCCTTGAAAATACTGACCCATGTAAGGGTGGTACTGATGGCCACCGCCATACCCGGCTGCGAAACCATGGGGTTGCGGCGGTAGCGGAGGCGGCCCCGCTGCAAAATTGTCAATGAATGAATTGAAACACGGGCCAAATGGGGAGTCAAGTAATTGGTAATGATCAGAAAAACCATGGCTGGTGGCGTACGCATCTCCGCCGCCAGCCGGGACATAACCGATCACCGGCGGAGAGGGCAGCGGAGCTTGAAACCCTAAGAAATTCGCTTCATCTTTGAATTTCCTCTTGTGAAGATGATTGGTTTGAACCCATTGAAGAACAAGCTTCAAAAGCTGCTTCATTCCCTCCTTGCCGCCGCCGAGACGGCGGGCGGCGCTGTCAATAGTGGCTTTTTTAATCCTAACATTTCTCAAATCATCAGCAGAAACTGTCTCTTTATTACTCCGCAACCACTCCAAAAACACCTTCGCCATGTCCTCCTCCTCCTCCTCCACTACGACGCCGTTTTGCTTCCGCTCATCAATTTTATTCCCACCTTCTTCATGCATCATCATCAAATCCTCCATTACCACTTCTTCAAAGCTCTCCAATTGCAAATCCTCTAAAGGGTCTTTTTGTTCTTCATTTTGAAAAATACACGTCGGATCAAAAAACTCATTGCTGTCTTCGAGTAAATTCATGTATCCAAATGTGTCCATCATCATCATGTCGTCCGTACAATCAACGTCGTTGAACTCTGTCTCCGCCGGCGGCGGCGGCGATGACATGGCGGCGGCAACGGAGGTGGAATTATTATTATCATTTACTCTGATTTCTTCAATGGGTTCCTCAGCATCGGATTTCAAAATTGCCCATGAAGTGGTTGAGGAAGAGGAGGTCGACGGCGACGAAGCTGTAGCCTTGACCGGAGCCGGAGTCAACGACGACGACGACGACGACGATGACGACGACATGCAAGGGAAATCCGACAGCGGAGGGAAATCAGAGTAGAACATTAGAGTGTCATCATCATCAGACAGAAAGTTTTGATGATTTTGAGGAAACCAAATCTGTGTCTGATCCATTTGATGTTGTTGATGTTGTTGTTCATTCACAATCCCTGCATGCAGATCTTTCAATTTCTTTTTAAAACAAAAATTCACAAGCGATCATAATAAATTAAAAAATCAAAAAATCAAAAAATTATTTTTTTTTTTTAAAAAAAAAAAACCCTGTTTTGTAATCCTGTGGGCTGCTTTTAAAAATTCCTCCGTTAGTTTCAGATATTATTGAAGATGGTTTGGCAGAGAAGTGATCAGTATGGATAAGGAAAGAGAAAAAAGGAACAAAAAAAAAAAAATAAAAGGGTTTTGTTTCTGATTAAGCAACAGAAAAGCATCTGGAAAACCCATCTTCTGGATCTTTCTCAAGATTCTTTTGTTTTTGATATTAGAGATGAAGAACATGAAGAACATGAAGAACATGAAGAACATGAAGAACAAGGAGGAGAAGAGAGGGATACCCACATGGAGCTGAGCCAAATCTTGGAGAAGGTGTGGTTTGATCCACAAAGTTTGAGTGTTTTAGTGGAAACTTGTGTTAACTCGAGGGTTTTAAATGGAAGAAAGAGAGAGATGGTGGGTTTAGTTTGGGAAGCAGACTCCGGAGTTTGTGCAAATTTGAGTATCACAAACGTTTGAATTTGAATGGAGGCTACGAACGGTGCTACTTCACATCTGAATGGTGCCCATTAGCGGTGCGCTTCAGGACATGGAAAAATGAATGTGGTTTTTATTTGTTATTTGTTACCTTTCATGTGGCGCCTCCAATCTGATTTTAGAGGATATAATTAGTATTCCTTGAATTTGTTCATCAGCCCATGTATTAATTAGATGACCTTTGACTCATTGAATCGGTGACATCCCAAGTTAGTGATGGAGAGTAGAACCAAGCATACCTTATAACTATATGAAATTTTATTTACTAACAGACACGTTTTAAATATGTGAGATTAATGATGATACGTAACAAGTCAAAACTGATAATATTTGTTAATGGTGGGTTTGAGCTATTATAAATTATTAAAATCAGTCATTAGGCGGTGTGCCAGTAAGAACGTTGGCCACTCAGGAGTAGACTGTGAGATCCCACATCGGTTGAAAATTGTATCACGGAGTAGTGTGTCAACGAAGACGTTGGGTCCCTAAGGGGGGTGGACTGTGAAATCCCACATCGGTTAAAGATGGTAACGAAACATTCCTCGATGAAAATCTCTCCCTAGCTAACACATTTTTAAAATGTGAGACTAATAGCGACACATAACAGGCCAAAGTAGACAAAATTTGCGAGTAGTGGGTTTGGGCTGCTACAATGATATTAGAGCTAGACATTGGTTGAAGACGGTAACAAAACATTTCTTGTAAGAATATGAAAATCTCTCTCTATCTGACGCATTTTACAATTGTGAGACTAACAACGATATGTAACGGACAAAAGTAGACAAAATCTGCGAGTAGTGAGTTTGGGTTGTTATAACGGTATTAGAGTCATGGGGACGTTGGGTTCCAAGGGAGTGGATTACGAAACATTCCTTATAATGGTGTGGAAACCTCTTCCTAACAAACGCGTTTTAAAACCATGAGACTAACGACAATACGTACGAGCCAAAACGGACAACATTTGTTAGGGGTGAACTTTGACAGTTATAGAAATCATTTAAGTTAAAAGCCATAATGCTAATACCTAATGCGATGAATACTGCAGTTTCGACTCATACTAAAGGTTTAGCACACTCTTTGTTGTTACTATGGGATCTTGAAGTGCAAAGAGATTTTACTCGTTGATGTCAGTTAGTTAAGCAATCTTGTTGACTTTTGTTACTCTCACGATGTTTTCGGACTAATAAGATCTAAACTCATAATTTTTACTAAAATGTGACCAACATATATTTATATAATAATGTTCTTATTGAATTATATTTGCATCAGAAATTGGGAATGGATAAGTCGGTGATGTAGTGAACTACCTTAATCAATTTAGGAAGTCCCGATGTAATTTGATCTTATCCTAAAAATATTAATTAATTTTCTTACTTTCTTACTATTTTAATGACATTTAAATTTTATATTAAATTAGATTAATGGTCATTTATAGATTTGGATGCAAAATAGGATAATAACCCTTTGGAGAAAAATAATTTCACGAATTCCTATAATTTAATTACATTAATTTTTATTTATTTTTATTTAAATTAGATTTTTTTTTAATTGAATTTTGCAATAAAATAATAAGTTTGGTAGGAAACTTGCAAAGTTTCCCCATACCTTAGACCTCCATCCGTACACACTCTCTCTTCTCTTAGAGAGAGAGGGATTCTGAAACGCTGAAAACGACACGTCGCCGCTCTTAATTTTTGCGCCACGTCCCCACGACATGCAAGGTTCCACCAATCACATTGGTTTTCCAGTTTCACTTCTTCTATTATCCGCCACGTGTAACCACTGAAAGTCAAGGTCAAATTGCTTGCGTGGATCTCAAGTACCCTTACCCCTTGGGTTTGCTATGGGAAGTTAATTTAGTTTTGTTTTTATTCTTCTGTCACACGTGTCTGTGGGCCACCCTTACTCTGTTTTATTCTCGTCATTCCCATTCTTTCTTTTTTTTGTTATTATTGAAAAATTGAAAGAAAACAAAAATCATAATGACTTATATACCCTTTGAATATTACTTTAAAAAATATTCCTTACACGGCTGCATGATCATAATACTAACATCTAACGGAGATTCTAGGTCTAACATGAGTTGAATCTATGAAATCCGACGTCTACCCCATTATATGTGGGATCTCACACTTCCATTATAAAGAATGTTTCGTTCCTTTTCTAACCGATGTGAAATCTCACAATCCACCCCGGTAGAGTTCCGACGTCTTTGCTGGCACACTGCCCTATGTCTGGCTCTGATACCATTTGTCACAGTCCAAGTCCACTTCTAGCAAATATTGCCAGCTTTTGCCCATTATGTATCGTCGTCGGCCCAACGATTTTAAAATGTGCCTACTAGGAAGATGTTTCCACCCCCTTTTTTTCGTTCTTTTGTTCCTATCTCACAATTCACCCCCTTAGGGTCCAGCATCCTCATTAGCACACTGGAATTGAGTGAACGGAATTCCTATGACTGCAACAAACAAAGTAAATAGGGATAACACAAACATCGGAAATAGCATCGTATTATTTGATTCATAAGGATACGAAAAGGTAGTCTTAGTACAAAAATGGGGAATACTCACAAAAGGCCGTATCATTTTTGTTACATTACTATCCATTTGATATGCTCTTTTTTCCCCAAAAAAGAAGACGAATGATTATTATTCATTGTTAATAGTGATAAGAAAAGAAAGTTGTTTTTTAATTATTTTTTATTCTTCTTTCCCCAGAGACAGCCTCGTCATTGACTTCTTCAGCCGCCTTTTCAGCGACTTGGTTCACACCTTGCCTGCATTTCCATTTGCGTTACAATTTATTCTGTTAAGAGTGATTAATTTGAGTTTTGGATATGAAAACTAACATGTCTTGGTCTGAGAGAGACAAAGGCTTTAGAACTCCATGGGCTGCGTACACGAACAGATCTAGCCCGATTAAGCTTTGGGAGAGTTACTGATGATGAGGACATGAAGCTTGCCATGGTTGCTCTAATTCTAATATTATCTCTAGTTTGTTTTTGATGTTTTATCTATTAAGTTAGGTTTAGTTTCGCAGAATTGAATTGATTTCGAATTAGTTTTCACTAAGGCATAAACAATAGGATTTATCACGGTGCATCTGTACCTATCCTAGTCTTTTTGTCGAACTCAAAGCATAAGTTCATGGACTAATGTGACATCGTACCACGATTGGATAAGGGAATGAAGCTTTCCTTGTAGGGTGTGGAAGCTCATCCCTAACAGACTCATTTTAAAATTTTGAGGGGAAGTTCAAGAAGAACAATATCTGCTGGCGATGGACTTGAGTTGTTACAAATGGTATCAAAGCTAGTCATTGAGCGATCTGCCAACGAAAATGCTAGAGCCAGGCACTAAACAGTGTGCCAGCAAGGACGCTAGCCCTTAAGAGGATGGATTGTGAGATGCATTCCTCTCCCTAATAGAAGCGTTTTAGCCAAGCACAAGGCGATGTGCCCTTAAGGAGGGTGGGATTGTGAGGTGCATTCCTCTCCCTAATAGACGCGTTTTAGTCTGGCACTAGGCGGTGTGCCCTTAAGGGGCGGATTCTAAGATGCATCCCTCTCCCTATTAGACGCGTTTTTGCTGGGCACTGGGCGGTGTGCCCCTAAGGGGGTGGATTGGGGGATGCATTCCTCTCTCTAACAGACGCGTTTTAGGCTGACACCAGGCACTGTGCCCTTAAGGGGGTGGATTATGAGATGCATCCCTCTCCCTAATAGCGTCGTTTTCGCCGGGCATTGGGTGTTGAGATATGATTCAAAGTATTAAAAAAAATATGATTCAGTTGAGATATGATTCAAATATTCAAACTACCAAGATTTTAGAAGATTGTTAGTAGATTTGAATTTTTCTAGATTTCGATGATTTACTATTTCTGGTCCAATGTATAAGCTATAAATAAAGCACCGCAGCATTCATTTATTTTATCTATTCTTATCTCTTTCACTATCCTTTTTTCCAACATTGGGCCCCCTAAGGAGAGTGAATTGTGAGATGCATTTCTCTCCCAAACAGACGCGTTTTAAAATCTTAAAACTTTGAAGGGAAGCCCGGAACACAACATCGTCCATAAGCAAAAATAGTGAAAATTTGTTGTTCTCGAGAGGAGTTGATGCAGGAAACTGGACCAATCCCCAGTAACAGCTGAGTAACAACCTGAAAAGTCCTCCAAAAATATGGAGAAGGTGATCATTAAAAGCATACAACCAAACCCGGTTGGTAAATTCACACAGTCAGGCCCTGCCTCAGCATTTAAACTCATTTACTTCTCCCAACTGTCCCTCAACGCCCTCTGCCCTTTAAAACCCTCACCTCGCACCTCCATTGGCCAACAACACACACAAACACAAGTGTAAGTGTTTATACTACGTAGAAGAAGAAGCACGAAATGGCCAAATTGTTTATGGCTATGCTCCTGGCTCTTCTGGCCACTCACGCCCTAGCTAGACCCACGCCCAAGGACGCCACCTTCACTGACCAAAAGAACTTCCTAACATACGGAGGACTCGGTGGCTACTCCGGCATCGGCAGCAACGGCCTCCCATTTGGCGGCCTTGGCGGTGCCGTTGGAGGAACTGGCCCTGGTGGTATTGGTGGAGGAATTGGTGGACTTGGTGGATTTGGAGGCGGAGGCGCTGGTCTCGGTGGTGGTCTTGGTGGTGGTCTTGGTGGTGGTCTCGGTGGCGGTGGCCTTGGAGGAACCATGGGAGGTGGTAACCTCGGTGGCGGTCTCGGTGGTACAGTTGGCGGCGGTCTCGGCGGTGGTGTTGGTGGTGGTGGCGGCTCTGGGCTTCCATGAAAATAAGCTATTTAGTTATGTTTGATTTCTACTCAAAAAGTTATTGCAGTTTGAAAAAGTTTTTAATTTATTTAAAATCGTGTCAAGACATGTAGTGGTCGAGTTGTTATTTAGTGAGCTTATAAGATTGGCTGTGTCTGTTTTTTTTTTTTAATTAAGATTTATGTCTGTGATTATGTTTTGTTGTTCACTTTCTCAGTGTAATACAAACATCTTTCTCTACTAATTCCTTTTTTTAATTAATTTTTATATATTTATTCATATAACTTTTGTATGAAGTATGGGATGCATGATATTGCACCACCTTTAACTTCATGCAAAATCCAAAATAATCCATTTTTTTTTACAAATATATATATATATCTAGAGGGTGATAGAAAATAATATTTAAAAGCTATTATATTTAAATTACCATAAAATAATATCTTAATAATGAAAATATTTTGGAGGGGCAAGTTATAAAATAATATCTTTTTTATTAATTTGTTAATCCCACTTACGTCTGTAAATAAATATTAAATGTTAATTAATGCGTAATTAATAAGGAAAGTAGTCATTAATTGTTTTAAAACTAATTAATTGAGAGGTTAAATTATAAACTATAGTAATAATTTATATACATGAAAATATATGTCACATATTAATTATATTCAAATATTTTTAATGTTCCCTACCTACAAGAATTCGACTCATTAACCAACTTGATTTTTGATTTTGATGGGAATCTAGTTAATTCAAAAGCAAAAGCTAAAAGGGCAGATTTTTCAAGGCCCCAAATAATGGCCATTGGATTCTTTCATTAGATGACCCTAATTTAAGAGGTGCCCACAAAAGTTAGGTGCAGCTCATTAAAAGAGTGCCATTCTGATAAGCTTTGCCCTAAGTTGTAGGACAAGGTGCCTTACCAATTCCCATAGCTTAGCCTTGGAAGACATGAAAGCATGGAAAATGTTTGGTAAGGGCATGACCATAATCGGAATTTCACAAGAGGCCATAAATACGTGACACATGACTCTTGTTGTTCGTTGATAGGCACCATTATGTAACAATCCATATCCAGGATTCAAAATCTTGATTCGACATCTAATGCCCCCGACATTCTCCTATGACATAGCCACGTTACTCTTCACTTCTAAAAGTGAAAACTATATTACGATCGCATAACAACACACACTCGATCTAAATGAACACAAAGAACAAGATAGAGAAAATGAAAGAAGAATACTGGCTAAAGGTTTATATTGATGACTTCAGGCATGTACAATAGAAGAGAATACTAAAAGTATATTTGAATATATATATAGTTTATTACAATATATAGTTTTACCAAATATAACTATTAGTATATATATAACTATCTAGTGCGTGTATAACTTTTTAAGTAGCTTAAAACCGTTCACTAAGCTATAAATAAGCATCAGGTTACATAACTAACAAACTACAAGCATTCTTTGTCATCACTCATTTGCATTTTAAAGAAATTTTCAAGAGGCCACCCAACATAGATTGTATTAAGCAAAACACGCTTAACCATGAACTTTCTATGATTGAGCCACCCAACATAGACTGTCCTTCTAGTTCCTATGATTGAGCCACCGAAAAAGAAGGTACACCTTATTGGCATAAGTAGTGACTTTCAATCTTTTAAGTAATTTCTCAGTTCATTCATATACTCTTTATTTACTCGAGTGTCATAGAATTCATCTCTCTAACGAATTCGAAAACAAAGAGAAAGAAAGAACTAAATTGAATCATAAATGGGTTATAATTAAGGTTTGAATTAAGAGTAGGGGGGGACAGCTGGTGAAAGAGTGGTGGGCATGAACATGGGTGTTAAATGGTGCGTTGAACAAGCTCTGCATGGGAGCTTTTAATTTGGAGTAATAAGGGATAAAAAAAGAAAGCAATGCATTAAAAAAGATGAACTAACAATTGTACGTATGGTTGGGTAAGCTGGCAAATTGAAGAGTGCCTTTAAAACTTATGTATGCCACTACGGAAGATAGTGTCAGAGTTGCCTCCAAACATTGAATGACTGATATGAATATATCAGACCTCTCTATGAACACCAACCAGCTACCACCATTCACTACTTATTTTTGCTACCCACCACCCATTTCTACCTTCCAAATTATTCAACCAATTATTGTATGTATAGGTTAATAGTCGACTTTAGATCCCCTGTTAACAGATATTGTCTTCTTTGAACTTTTCGTTTTCGTTTTATCCTCAAGATTTTAAAATGCGTGGGAGAAGTTTTCATATTCTTATAAGGAAGGTTTCGTTCCCATCTACAATCAATGTAGGATTTCACCATCCACCTTGTATTGTGGGTCGAGTGTCTTTGCTGGAACAACATGTTCTAAAACCTCGAGTTGAAGCTCAGAAGAAAAAATTCAAAAACGATAAAATTTAGTTATGATGGGCTTGAGTTGTTACAAAAGATATCAGAGTCAGACATCGAGAGGTGTGCCAGGGAAGACACTAACCTCCGAATTGTGAGATTATGGAGATGGAACAAAGCATTTCTTATAAGAGTATGAAAATCTTTTCTTAACAGACACGTTTTACTGTGAGGCTGATAATGATATGTAATTGACCAAAATGGATAATATTTATTAGTAGTGGACTTAATTAATTATATTTTTATTAATTTCATATTTGGAATGTTTATTTCATATTTGGAATGTTTGTGGTAATTTGGCAAGTAGTTCAACCAAATTCCATGTCACGTAGTATGGAGTAAAATTTAAAGTGTCGACCTTCAAATTTATATTAGTTCCAAAAACTTCAATTAATTTTTAACAAATGAGTATAATATTTTAAATCTTTTAATCGTTTGATCTTTATCTTAAAAAATTTCATCAAAATTTATGTTTTTGATATTGGTTAAATATATAAATAATATCATAGAAACTAAATTAAAATGATTATTTGTATCAATATAATATTATTTAACCAATATTTATTTAATTTAACAAATTTTCGAGAATGTAATTTAATTTAGAATTGACTTAAGGTGTAACTTGTTGATATAGATAGTAACTTTCCTATTTTTAAGTCTTTATTTGTCATCTTATCATCAATATCATTTTAAATCAGATGTGATTTCGGTTCATTCATATACCACTAATTTACTCATACTTTCTAACAAATTTTTAAAAAAGTATTTGGAAGGTTTCTTCAAACTTGGCAAGTTTGGAAAATTTGGCCATGCAATATAAGGCAACATACAACGCATTCCCATGCAACATAATGCAACGAAACTCGGTATATAAATATTTTAACGGAGTGACCTACACACTCATCCGAAGCTTTCTTTACTTCTAAGCAACTTGTAAACATGGGTGATCTCAGAATGTCATTGCGTAACATGATCGTAGCGACTTTGGCTCTCGTTGCCTTTTCAACCGTGGCTATGGGATCTTGGCCATTGGAGAGATGGACGGTACAAGTCGTGAATGGGTTGGGAGGCGGACAGACACTACTGGCGCATTGTAAGTCAAAAAACGATGATTTGGGAGACCATAACCTAGCCACTGGTGCTCTATTTAGCTTTACTTTCAAAGACAACGTGTGGCAAACCACAGAATTCTGGTGCACCTTGACCAAGCCAAACAATGCGCATGCTTCTTTCGATGTGTATTGGTATGATACTAGCAAAGATCAATGGCTTTATACCAGATGTGGCGACCACACTTGCGTTTGGATTGGCAAAGATGATGGGGTTTACATTAAAAATGCCTCTACCAATCAGGATGAGCTTGTTCATCCCTGGGAATGAATATCCATTCCAATCAATAAGGTCTTTTGAAATTAATTTGAAATTAAAATACAGACTTTATTAATGTAATCTTAAAACAGTATATGATAATATACTCGATGAGCTATGAATGTTTGATAATTTTTACGAGACAGTTGTCGAGAGGTGCAGGGGATGACATGTGAGTGAGCTGACATTTTGGATTAACTCGTTCCATCCTGCAACACAAATAAATTAATGCATCAATCAATCTGAAAATATTTGCATAATTCACTCTACCTAAATGGCCTGTGAAAGTTCTCTATTTATAATCAAATAAATTACAAAAAAAAATGAAAATTGACCTGTAATTAAGGAGAAGAAAATGGTGAAGTAAAATGGCCATTTCAAGCTTGACCAGCTCGCTTCCTGGACAGTATACCCTCCCCATTCCAAATGGTATGAAGGCTCCTGCTTTTGGCTTGTAATTCTGCACAAAACATTAACCTTTTAAGTTCATGTTCATGTATTTCGTGGAATGGACTGAGTTGTTGAAGACCTACGTCCCATCTTGAAGGATCAAATTTGTGTGGATTTGGGTATATTTGAGGGTCCATATGAACAGCTCCGTTCCATATTTGTATGCTCCATCCTTTTGGTATAATATACCCTAAAAAACACCAATAATTAGTAGCACGTTTCTTGCATTTGTATATTCTGATTTCAGTTTTAGGGTCGTTTACTGTGTATTTTTTATATTCATATTGTTTTCTTTGAGTTTTCTATACTTAACTTCGTACTTGGGGCAGTTACTGAGCTAAAATACGTCTATTAGGGAGAAGTTTCCACACCTCTCTATAAAGAATACTTAGTTCTCCTCTCCAACCAATGTAGGATATCATAATCCACCCCTTTGGGACGCTGGCACACCTCTTGATGTCTGACTCTCATACCATTTGTAATGGCCAAAACCCATCGGTACCATATATTATCCTCTTTCAGCGTATAAAACCGTGAGGTTGACGGCAATACGTAACAGGCAAAATCGGACAATATCTGCTAGCTGTGGGCTTAGGTTGTTACAAATGGTATCAAAGCCAGACACCGAGCAGTGTGCTAGCTAGGACGCTAGCCCTCTTTGTGGGATCCTACATCAGTTGGAGAAGGGAACGAAAGATTCTTTATAAGAATGTAGAAACATCTCCCTAATAGACGTGTTTTAAAACCGTGAAGCTAACGACGATATATAACAGATCAAAGTGGACAATATCAACTAGCGGTGGATTCGGGTTATTACAATTCATTCTTTCAAAATTGAAACTCACCTTTGATCTTTACATTAGATTTGGCCTCGCGAAAGGTCGGAGAGGTAAGTGTACTTCTTCTCAACGTCTCATTAATTACCTAAAATAATTATCAAGCAAAATGAAAAACTTTACCAGTTGAATTATGTTTCTATGTGGTAAAATAATAACTTTGTTCGTATTGATCTCTATCCTTTATTATTTAAACACTCAAAAAACAAAAGATTATTAAATATGCAACGATCGATCGAGTCTACAGATATGAGATATTTAAATTTTTTTACCTTTTAATCGACGCCCATACTCATTTACTCGAACATCAAAGATGATAAGAAACGTATTAGAGATGATTATGCAGTAAAAACAAACCTTTGTAAGATACGTCATTCGAGTAATTTCTCCAAAATTTAATCCATTTTGGGTAGGTGGCCTTTCTTTTATAATCAACTCTTGTTCTTCCTGTAAAACAAGAACATCATGAAACCATATAATATATATTTAAAAAAAAATCTATTGAATTGTTTAAATATTGTAACCTTTGCCTGTTGGAGAACATGAGGGTGGTCTGAAATATGTATAAGAACCCAGATGGCTGCATGAGCTACAGTATGATTACCAGCATGAAGCACACCGAGTAGTATATCTATAATTGCGTTGTTACTCAACAACTTTGCCCCATTCCCATCACTCGCCTCAATCATTGCCTCTATTTCACAATTCTCTTCCCTTTCTTCATACTTTTCCACTGCTTTTCTCTTCTCTTCTATGATTTTGTTCAGAATCTTTTCTACCTCTTTCATTGCCTGAATTATCGGGGTTCACGGTCAAGAGCTAGAGATGTCTATGGACGAGGTAGAGACAGGAACGAAGAACATGATCTTTGTTCCCAACTTCATTTCGTTAATGAAGAGAAATATCTCTCCACTACCTCGTTCATATATGGTTTATGAAATATCTGATACCATTACCTCGTTAGCAAAATGGTATCAGAGATGTCCGTTATTTTGACATCTCTAATAAAAACCTAAGAGAATCAATGAGTTTTTAAAGTTGACCTAATTCTTAGACGCTATACCTGTTATGAGTCATATTGAAATCAATGGAATTGAAATTATCAGAGAATGATATTTCTTTACTGCTATATGTGAGATCTGTTGGGATTATGAGTCCCACCTTAGTTAATTTAGTGGAAGACCATGAGTTATAAGTGAGGAATACTATCTCCATTGGTATGAGGCTTTTTGGGGAATTCAAAAGCAAGCACATGAGAGTTTATGCTCAAAGTGGACAATATCATACCATTGTGGAGAGTGGAGAGTCGTGATTCCTAACATGGTATCAGAGTCATACTCTAAACTTAGTCATGTCGAACAAAGAATTGTGGGCGACCATTGTGGAGAGTGGAGAGTGGAGAGTCGTGATTCCTAACATGGTATCAGAGTCATGCTCTAAACTTAGTCATGTCGAACAAAGAATTGTGGGCCTTGAAGGTATAGTCAAAAGTGACTAAAGTGTCGAACAAAGGGTGTACTTTGTTCTAGGGCTCTAGAGAAAGGAGTCGAGCCTCGATTAAGGGAGAGGTTGTTCGCTATGAGAGCTTATGCTCAAAGTGGACAATATCATACTTTTGTGGAGAGAGTTATGATTCCTAACAAGATCCTACCTCGATTGGAGAAGAGAACGAAACATTTCTTAAAATCGTGAGATTAACGACAATACATAACGTACTAAAGCCGACATATCTACTAGCAGTGAGCTTGAGATATTACAACAGCGGGCTTGAGATGTTACAAATGGTATCAAACTCAGACACTGAGTAATGTGCTAGCGAGAATGCTAGACCCCCTAGTGGACAATATCATACCATTGTGGAGAGTTGTGATTCCTAATAAGATCCTACCTCAGTTGGAGAAGAGAACGAAACATTTCTTAAAATCGTGAGACTAACGGCAATACATAACGTACTAAAGCCGACATATCTACTAGCAGTGGGCTTGAGATGTTACAAATGGTATCAAAGTCAAACACTGAGTAATGTGCTAGCGAGAACGCTGGACTCCCAAGGAGATGGATTGTGAGATCCCACACATATATAGATCAATTGGAGAGGAAAACTAAACATTTCTTATAACAGTATGAAAACCTCTCCCTAGCCGACGTTCTAAAGCCATTGATACGTAACAAGCTAAAGTTGATAATATCTACTAACGATGAGCTCGATAAATAATTTTTTGACCCCAAAAAGAAGTTAATAAACGTGTGAACCTTGAATGCTCTATTGTAAGCAAATCCAGGCAAGTCAAAAGGGAAAATGGACACGAGTGCAAGAGTCATTTCTCTGAACAATTTCTCGAGTTCTTGTAAGCAAGGCCCACGAACTTCAGCCCCCAAGAAAATACGTGAAATGAGTTTAAAGTATAGAGTTTTAGTTTCATTCAACAACTCTATTGGCTCGCTCATGCTGCTCCATTCTTCCAAGCATTTCACCACTTCCTTCTCAATATAACCCACATATTTAGACAAGGCTTGCGCGCCACTAATGGGAGCTGCCATGAGCCGATGCACAGATTTGTGGTCAGCAATCTTCATGGCAGACCCACTCCCAACAAATATCTCTGCCCCCTTTGGATATTTGGGAACAAAGCACTCGTCATCTAAGTATATGCGTCGGCATATTTCCGGATCTGTCACGATGATTGTTGGTTTTCCGAAGAGATGGCTTCTATATATCCCAGTTTTTTCTTTCCTGCATGAACACATTATCTCTATTGATATGAAGCTTTTTTGGAAATTCCAAATAAAAATAGATAATATCATTAGGGAGAGTCGTTATTTCTTACAGATAACGAATGTATGAACCTATGAATCAAAGGACAGAGAGACGAAGAGATATACTTGGAAATAAGATGATTGATGAAAGTGTTGGGATCATTGCTTGATTTAAAAGTGTTGTAAAGCGATAGGGAAGAGCCGATAAGAGGCCATCCCATATCACCAGGAGGGAGAGCTTGGTAGACCTTCCTTCCCAGTTTAACAAAACTTTGTAGTTCATTGAGCCGCCTTAGAAACACAAAGACAAGCACATAAAACACTAAAATAGCTGCAAAAACTACCAAAATGATATCAACTTCCATTGTGTTCTTTCTACTGCTACTCCTCAACCCAAATGACCCACTCGTTTTTATCGTGATGATACACGTTTCTTGAGCCATACGCTACCACCTATATTGATCGTATTAATTATATCATCTCCTTAATAGTTACGGGTGTCATAAGTAAAAATATAATATAATGTTCTATTAACACCATTTTTAAAACTTCAAATTTTCATATTACCTCACAAATTTCAATACTTAAAAAAATCATTAACATATAATCGTACGTAAAAAAATAATAATATATAATAGGTTAGTTTTGTGCATTATATATATAGAGGGGTAGAGAATTGAACATGTCATGATCAGGGAAGGGCATGGATGGGACTAGGGAATATAATCTCGTTCTTGACCCTATTTAGTAATAGAAACATGGAGTGGATTGTGAGGTCTTATATCGGTGGAGAATGAAAACAAACATTTCTTATAAGTGTGTGAAAATCTCTTCTTATATAACGCGTTTTAAAAACTGCGTGTGAGGTTGACAATGATTCGTAATAGGTTTTGGAAGGTTAATTCAACGTCTCTAAACACGTGTTTGATTTCCATAATTAGATAAAATTTAATATAATATTAATTATATATGAACCATTTTAATTGCGTAGTTAAGTATAATTACTGAAATGATTAGTGATGCTAATTAATTTAACTATTTAAGACTAATTAAATAAATTAATTCAACGTATTAATTCAATATTATTTTCATTCAATGCATAATATTATTAATTTAATAAATTTTCATTAAAAAAAAAAACTAATTACATATATATATATATATATATATATATATATATATATATATATATATATATTTCAATAGGAGTGTGTGAATGTTTGATTAATCCTATTTATAATCAAATAAATTACAAGGATATGGAAATAGTAATAAATGGAAATAACAATAAATGGAAAGATACCTATGATAATAAGGCAAATATTAGATATTTGCATTATAATAAAATATCAAATATAATATATATGGTAAACTATAATTTATTACTAGATATCCTTAACATAGTGTTTTAGAAACATGTAGAATATATTACGAACATAATTATCCTATGGAAGTCAAACGAACAATTCAATCCTAAGCATCATGAATCTTTACCATTCCTAATGTTGATCACTAGTGAAATTTTCTCTGTTTATTATTTTTTAATAAAGAATTTTTTTCATAGGTACATTTTATTTTTATTTTTTTTAATATAAGTTATTAATTAGTATTGATTCACTTTCTTTATTAGAAATTAATGAAATACAAGAAAAAACAAAACAACAGATATGAGTTCCCTTTATCTGATAAGAAACTTTATTCTATTTGGACATATATGAAACTTGGAAATAGAACTTAAAAAAACATCTGGGGACAGGGGTAGGGACGGAGACGGAAAATATAACCTCGTCTCCAACCTAATTTATCGCTAACGAGGAACCTCGGCCCTATTTGAGATGGGTCTCCACGGGGCTATAAATAAACGCTCTTCCTTTTTCTCTCTACCAATCACATTTGGTTCTCCTCCTCCTCCATGGAAACCTTTTGTTTTGTTTTGTTTTGTGTTGAACCAAAAGCTTCTCAAATTGTCATAAGCCAAAATAAGGCAGCGTTGTCCTTTGTTTGGGACAGCTAAAAAATTCAACAGCTATGAATAGTTGCCTCATATTGGACACATTCCATATAGAGGCCCATCAATCCCACACAATCCCTTATTTAAACCACGCTCATTTGGTGCCGTTCAACACCAAAATGAACGCCATCTGTTTGAAGAATCAAGTTTTGGTGTTCGTGGTGGCCTCGGCCTTGGCCTTGGCTGCCTCGAAGCCATTCAGCAAATGGGAGATCCATATTAAGAATGGATTGAGCAATGGGCAAGCGATGTTCGTGCATTGCCAGTCCAAAGATAACGACTTGGGCGAACATACTCTTGCCACTAGCACCGAGTTCAAGTGGGACTTCAAAGTCAATCTTTGGGATACGACGCTGTATTGGTGCTACTTGCGCAAGCCGAACGGGCATGAGATGACGTTTGACTCCTTCTGGGTCGAGAAGAGGACCAAGTGGCTGCGCGTTAAGTGCGACGATAACATCTGCAATTGGACTGCGGAAGATAATGGAATTTACCTCAAAGATAACAGTGAAAATCTGGATGAGTTCGTTCATTACTGGAAATTCCCAAGCCACTGAGTACAACAAATAATGTTTTCTTCTCTTGCTTAAGTGCTCGAATGCTTGTTTTTTTTTCTCTTCAATAAATTGTGATTTATGATCTTCTACTATTTGTTTTTCAATCCTTTTGTCTATCACAAACGGGTATATATTTTAGAAATAAATCTACAAGATCACAATTATCTCGCCTCTAATACTCTACTCCAATATTAAAAAGTAATAAGATGCATCTTCCCTTATGGTGGCTCAATCATATAAATTTTATACAGATATTTATGTTGAGTGACAAAGCTCGGGAGCATGATTTCCAAATCTAAATTTTGAATCCGGAACATGGATCATTTAAAATTAAAGCTTAAAGATAATGGTACATTTAAACCCCTTTTAGACCATATATAAAATACACGAATATTTTTATTACGGAATAATAGAAACGATGCATTTTTCTTATTGCATCCGAGAAATGTCACCTTCAATGATGCCATACCAAAAACAAGATAAAAAAAAAAGGTTTACTATACCAAAAATGCCCCTAGTTCACACTTTCATCTCCTAAAGAAAATTTAGGATCGTCTCATCTTTACAGTGGATTTGCTGTTCTTCCACTTTCAAACAACTTTGAAAAAAACAATTCTGGAGATCTTTCCATGGGTAATGGAGTATTTATATCATATTCCAAGTGCAAGTGGAATAGCTATGAAACAAGTTCTTATTATGATGAAGAGAAAGAATCTTGAGCAACAACTTTGTGAAGAATATATAATGCAGTGGAACCATGGCCCAGGAAAGACAAGGAAATTACTCTGAAGTTGGAGAGTTTGGAATACTTTGATGCTACCCGACGACGATTACCACACCAAGTTGAATCTATCAGCATCAACGCCGTGGGCCCGAGCCGAACGAAATGCAACACAACAGTTTCGTGTAGTGACCATCTGTAACTCAACTTTCTTTCTATCACAATCTAGCAGAATAACAAGTCAGGAAAAGGGCAACGATTGTTTAAAAGATAGAATAACGCAAAAGAAGTACAGACTTCTGTTTACAGGGTCACGGTCATTACATGTTATTTGCGATATATATCGTACTTGCAAGCAGCAGATGCACATGTTCAAAGCTTTCGACACTCTAATATGCGCAAAACTTGCCCAGCAAGCGAGTTTCTCGAGTCCAAGCATTCAATATTAACCTAAAATACGCAAAAACCTTATAAATAGCAACGTGAATGGAACTTATTTTGGATCTTAAGGTAATATAACAATAATGTTTCAACTAATCTACGAACAAAGTATCATACGACCAATGAATATCATGAATGTCCCAAAAGATAAAGTAAGAGGCTTACCTGATTGATGATTTTAAAGATTTTTGGGATTCCTGTCAGTACATGGCCTGCTTGTATTAGGCGGAACTGGTTGCTGATTCTGTAAAAGGTTGAAAATTAACTCGTCGGTTCGGATTCGCAAGGTTGACAGTGGCATTTGGTTGAAATTTTGATGCCAACCAACTTTATAAACAAGCTGAATTTGTATACAAAATGAAGGTGACTGTCAAAAAACGATACCTGTACAGCCTGTGCGATATGAAACTGCACCTGGTTGGAGCTAAGAAACTGCTGATAAGAATCAGGAAAACCTGAGACTGGAGGCGGGGTTGTATTTTGTGTTCCAGCTGGGTTAACGATCGGATCCGGTTGATTATTCATTGCTTGAGCTTGGGATGGATTGCCACCGGGAACAGGAGGCATTGCAAAGGCAGGGAGAGGGAATCTCTGACCCAAATGAGCTGCTGCTGCTGCTGCTGCTCCAGCTTGCATTGGTAAGTTAGAGCCAGCCAGGAGATTAGGAAATTGCATCATTGGTCTATTCATGCCCATTTCCATTCCCATACCCATGCCCATCCCGATACCCATCCCCATCGGTGGTGGCAAGTATTGTTGAATGCCTGGGAACATCATCGGCATCATTCCACATCCCATCGACATCATCTGGGTTATAAATAGTCATTGCCAACGTTAACAAGATGCATCAGCCGATCACGTTCAGGTATGCCTTGTGTATGTTTATGCAGAAGATTTACAATGAGATGTTTTTCGCAGCAGGCAGAATCAAAGATATGTTTCATTCCCTAATTGTTCAATGATATCAACTGTTTTGTATGTAAAGTATTGACTATTTCCTTCTACAACAATTGGTTAAATAGAATCTGTTACTAATTCATACATTTCCTTCTACCATGATTCAGTTTAGACTTGCACTTTTATGGAACGATTAAGATTGAAATTCAAAGCATGTACCTGCACTTGCAACTGAAGGGTCTTTAAGTACTCGATCGCTTCATCCAACATCGAAGCCTTATCGGTCTGCAAATCAGTAAAGGAACTCAACACAATTCGGATATGAGAAACAGAGAAACCTCTACTCAGAATCACATTGAAGCTGAAAACAAACCTTGTTGCATCGAGGGATGAGTTCCTGTAAAGCCTTCATCTTCTCATTTATCCGATCCCGACGTCTCTGCAAATAGATTTGCAATATTTCACTTCACCTCCAAGAAGAAAACAACACTACCATAGAAGGTACATTTGCTTGTTTACAACCATACAATTAGTAATAAATTCAATTTCGCACCCTCTCTGAGAGGTTGTGAACCTCAGCAGCACGAGATCTTTTCATTGATGTCGAGCCCCGCAATTGTTTCTTCGGATCAGTGGATTCGTACTCAACATCCTAATGGCAAAGAACATTAGCAAATCACCCAAGAATTGCAAAAACAGAAATACAAATCTCTTTGTTTGCCCAAAACAAAGCAGTCAGCAATCATCTGTGGAGCTTTTAATGGCCATTGTTTCAAACCGTTTTAAAGTTCCCGTTTGCTCCTTCAATTGAGGATTCAATCTTTTGTAGTTTGAGCTTCAAAAAGATTCATGGTTGGATTCCATACTAAATTGTTTCATGCTAAAGATAAACAAAGAGAAGATGCTTACCTCGCTTTGGCATTCGGTATCATCGGGAGCTCTTCCTTTGCGCTTTCTGTCATCGGCAGCCAGTTTTGGGGCAGCAGGCTCGGCACTGGCACTCGAGCCGCCAGGGGATGAAGTGACAGTCATTTCACAAGTCACCAACTCTTTCTCCCCGACGCCATCGCCGCTGACCGACGCACCTCCGCCTCCATCACTACCACAAACCGTCTCACGCCATACATCGGCACCATTCACCGCCTCCACAAGCTTTCTCCTCGCAATTACTGAAGCCCTAGATTCCGGCCCGACAGACGGCGTGTCGCAAGAATCCACCACAGTGGCTTCCCGCACCATAGCCTTTGAATTCGACGGTTCCGATTCGCCCGTCGCTCTGTTCCTCGAGAACTGTACGGAGCTCTGCTTTTCCAGTCGAGTTGGTGGCCCCTGCGTGAGAGTGACCGTCGCCGTAGCGGATGGCCGGGGCTCGGTTAGAGAATTGCCGCAAAGAGAAGCAGTCATGGAGGGGAAGAGGAGGTCGGAGCAGAAATTATGATCCTCAACGAGAGGATAGTTGAGCCACGAGGCCATTTCATCTTCTTGCATAAAAAGGTCATGAGGTTCCTCCAATTGAGACGAAGGCCGGATCTCTCTAGTCGCCACCGCCGCCGTTTGATCTTGTGGAATCGAAACATCGAATTTGGAGGGCGGTGATTTCCGGACCGACCTCTGGTTCTGGCTGTGAGCCACCACTTGGCCGTTCTGCCATAGAAGCTCCACTACATCATCGTCCGGCCTGCGAGTTAAAAAATCTCAGTCCACAAAACAAAATCAAAATCAAAACCCAGAAAAAATTTTAACAACAATATCTTCAAACAAAGCTTACATAGACGATTTTCTCGGCCTGGTTAAACTAGAGAATGTTGGGAGGGAGAAATCGTCAGCCATTTCAAAATCAGGAACGCAGTGGTTCATCCTCAATCTTCCGATCATCAATTACCTGGAGGAAACAAAAATCAAAGGAGTTTCAACTTCCAAGCTTCAATCCACCGAGAAGCCAAATCGAGAACAAACGAAGGAGAAAAGGAGAGAACTATACACAGAGAAAAAATCAATCCTCCATGGACGAACACCATGAAGCTAAGAGATGAGTGAGCGCAACAACGGCGTCTGCGCAAAAACAAGGAAGAAAAATAGGGGATAGTAATGGAATCTTGATTGGTTTTTGGAGAGATGGGTGGGTATGGGAGAAGCTGAAAAATTGTTGGGGAAGGGGAAAGGCGGCTGGTCCTCCTCCAGCAGAAGCAGTAATGGCGGAAGGCCAGAGATAAGGGAAGGCGTTGGTTGCGTGCGTTTGTGTGTGTGAAAATTGGAATAAAAGAGTTGAGGAGAAGACGAAAGGGCATTTTGACGACATGTAGCTCAATCCAATCTCCGCCCTCTTTCCCGATTTTTTTTTTCTTTTTCTTTTTTATTATCTCACAATTTTTATATATATTATTTTTTCCTATCTAACATAAAAAAAAAAAAATCATTATTTTAAAATTTTGACAATTTTATTTTTTGAAGTACAAAATTTAAATACAATATTTTTTTTGAAAAAATGTAGTTTGAGAAAAGTATTATACAAAAATTGATGGTTGATTATCTATCGAATCTCTCGAAGTTATTGTCAATTTGTCAATTGTTTGTTCAATCTCATTCGCCTGTAGCGGAACGATTCCACTCACTTGAAACCCCACTCTACCTCTTGTTCCATTCAGTTACGTCGCCTCGAAATATCAAGTTTCTCTACATCTCATTCTGTTTTATCGGAGCTTGATTTACCTTACAGTTTCCTATGAAAATCAAACTCAGCCTCATGCTTTTTTGGAATAATGTGAGATCATACACCGGTTGGAGAGGGGAACGAAGCATTCCATATAGTGGTGTGAAAACTTTTCCCTAGCAAACGCATTTTTAAAACCATGAGGTTGACAATAATACGTAACAAGTCAAAACGGACAATATTTGTTAGCAGTGGACTTTGACGGTTACAAATGGTATCAAAACCAGACATCGGGCGGTGTGTCAACGAGGACACCGACCCTTGAGAGAGGTGGATTGTGAGATCTCACGTTGGTCACTAGGCTTGACATATATAAGTTCTCGAGACAATATGTAGTATTTTTTATTTGGTGGGCCAATGGAAAAAGAGATAATTTTTTATAAAATCATAAAGTATATGAAAAGTACACATTTTTATAAAGCAATGTACGAAATATTTAATAAAACTAATAATCAAACGTGTTTAATATTATAAATCCGTTAATTATAAAGATTAGCACTATTTATTTAAAAAAATAATAGACTGAGAATGACACGTGGTGCGTTTAACATGGAAAAGGACAATAAACGGTAAACGAATCCTAAAAGGGTAATTAAAAACCAATAAACACACTGCCACATCAGCAAAATTAAAATAAATGCGAAAAGAAAAGGCCAAAACCAATTCCCGGTATCCCATGTCATCTGTTGGCGCGTATAAAACACGCGCCAATTATGGGGTGACGGCAACTATTTCTCCCACTAATTTGATTGGCCCTAAATATATATTATTTTTAATTTTTTTATTAAGTAGATATTTCCTTTATAAGTAGTTGGTGACCACAAAATTAGGAGTATTAAGCGACATAATGGATAAGCGACATAATGGATAAGCTTATACCTTAGCTATTTCAAATATAACATTGAATTACTAGGGATCGTAATGTTATTGGTTACCACTGATTACTCGTATCTTTTGTCTATTGCTTCGGATAATTTGAATAATAAAATTTTTCTTCAAGTAATTAAGTTATGGTTTCATTTTTGTCACGTGGGATAAAGTTTTTATTTTAATTTGAAATTGTGTTTAAATTTTCTAGACCAATTTGCACCTAATCCATTTTTATGTTTCACAATGCTTTATATGAAATTTCGGAGTTAAACAAGTAGTTTTTTGCAAAATTTTATCGGATTCATTACACCAATAATAAATTCCACTATCATTAAATTATACCAAAGTAGTTGAACTTAATAAATAAATAAATAAATAAATAAGAAAAATACCAGCAATAATTTTACCCAAGTTTTCATAAATAATTCATACTTATGAACTTTATAATAAAAATGAATTATAGACCTCGCCATTCATGTCTTTCAATATGAACACACTAATAAAATCAATAACAGGTTAGTAATTCAATCGGGTGTGTATATATACACACAATATATATATATATAGAGAGAGAGGTCTATACACGTTTTAAAATTTTTGAGAAAAAACAAAAGAAAAATAATATCGAAGAGCAGTCCAAACCACATACATACATACATACATATACATGTACACATATACATATAAGAGGGGGGAGGGGGAATGGAGGGGTTGGTAAGGGAGGTAATATGAGAAAGATATTGTTGTCGAAAGAAGTGGAGAAAAGGGGGGTATGAGTGAGAGGCATTGGGTTGCTATCACATTCTTCTCCTTTCTCTACATATTGCTTTGTCCCTCTTCTTCCTGGCATCTCTTATGCCCATTATTTTCATACCCCAACAATTTTTTTTTTTTTTTAGTTTTAACAATATTATTGATTATTTTAAAATTAAAAAGCTTTATTTATATATATATATATATAAACAAATATAAATTTCATAGATATTTTTATTAAATTATCCTAAAAAACAGTGTTGGAGTTGTGATTCCCAGACAGGAGAGAGAGGGGTGAGTTACGAATCGTGGCAAGTTGAAGAACACGCCAAGTCAGCATTTTGATATCCACGTGTATACGTATGTAGCCAATCGTGGCAAGTTGAAGAAAATGCCAGGTCAGCATTTTGATATCCACGTGTACTTGTATGTGCTCTGACCCAATTTAATTTTTTTCTGAAAAGGAACTGTCGTCTCCCTTTTGTACTGTTTCCTCACCCTCCACCTGATACCGTGTCATCTGCTTTTCAGATGATGATTGGGCTGACTGATGTCCACATCATGTTCCTCAGATTGACTTGGATTATTAGATTGGAAAGACATTTTTCTAAAAGTTTCAAACTCGGCTCAATCTAACCATTGATGCAACGAGTCGTCGAAAAAACATGTGTTTTTATCAGCTCCTAGAAAAAAATTCTTATGAATTGGTCTGGCAAATGAATGATCGTTAACAAAATCAGGGTGGGTTCGGTTTCAGTAACCCATGGCGCCTCCCATTGATGGGGCAGCTTCCTTACCATCCTTAGCTTGTTCGACCACCACGGCCTCCGTCGTCGTCAGTAGCGAAGAAACACTGTGTACAATAACAAAGCTTGTAAGGGCCAAGCCAAGCTTAAATAATAACAACATTAAGAGACAATGCATCTCGAGTGAGGCTAGCGAAGCTACCTTGCGGCGTCTACTAGCGCGGTTCTGATAACTTTTAAGGGATCAATAATTCCAGCCTTGATCATGTCTACATATTCGCCTATATGAAGAAATGTAGGAGGCTATATTATAAGCAGAAGTTGCAAGAACTTTGGCTGGAAACAAACAAAACGAAACCTTGCTATTCATTTTGTATGTCATGGGGCGTAATATACAGACCTTTAGCTGCGTCGTATCCAAGGTCGGAATTGTCCTGTTCGAGTAGCTTCCCGGCCACAACTGCTCCTTCAACTCCGGCATTAGAAGCAATTGTATAAATAGGCATCTGCAGATGAAGCAGCCTTAAGTTAACTGATTCTTGTACAATATGATTGTAACATATCCATAATGCATAGTGGCTTCAATATATGGATGAAATTTCGAAACCTTTAGAGCGTTTTGAATGATTTGAACACCGATCTTCTGATCAAAATTTGCAGTATGCAAGTTCTCCAACTCCTTTGATGCATAGAGCAGAGCAACACCACCGCCTGCCATGCCAACTCTCGAGATATCAAGGTCGTTTTTTTCGAATTGGACATAATCATAATGCTGATGGTTTCGAATCTCCCACCAACAAGATATGAAGAATGAAGTTATAGAACATTATTTATCATTTCAAATTCTCAGCCATCCCAACCAAAAAGAAAATTAGGTAAAGGACATGCACAAAAAGATAATCTCAGAAGGTGGCATTACCAGCAACAATTCCCTCCTCCACGGCCGCTTTGGTAGCATTTAGCGCATCGGTAACTCTATCCTTTCGTTCCCCAACTTCGGCTTCACTGGCCCCACCAATCTACAAAAAACGTGAGTCAAGAGCTCGAATCAAGCGGAGCGCTGGCATGTTTATGCCTAAACGAGTTGAGTTACATGACATAAACACTTACCTTTAGAACAGCAACTCCGCCAGAAAGCTTTGCAAGCCGTTCTTGCAGCTTTTCCTTGTCATAGTCTGAAGTGCTCAACTCAATCAAGGATCGCAACTGTCACACACATTCGATCATGAAATTATTCGTATATTCACACACCAAGGAACCTAACGAAATTCAAAACATAACATGACATTCTACAAAAATGAAGAAAATGAAACCTGGTCAGACTGTTCTTCAATCGCCTTCTTGTCACCAGTCCCATCAAGAACTACAGTATCATCCTTCGACACCGTAACCTATGCCGATATGCACAACATTGATTACATTAGAAATATAATCTTGATGTGGCAAAAAAGTAAGATTATTTCACCTTTTTGCATGAACCCAATGATTCAGCACCAACTTTTTCAAGATCTAGACCAAGTTCCTCAGTTATGACCTGATATTCAAGGTAAAAAGAAACAAAATGAAAAATAGAACATGAGATCTTCTAGAAAAGCATGGTGGAAGAGATGCAAATAGTCAAAAAGTCTACCTGGCCTCCTGTGAGAATTGCCAAATCCTGCATACCAGCCTTCCTATTATCACCGAACCCGGGGGCTTTAATTGCGCAAACCTTACGTTCGTTTAAGTGATAAAAACCATTTTAGTTGGTATATCCATTGTTACCACTAAAATTTAGCATGTAACTAAGAACATTATGTTACCTTAATACCAGCACGTAACTTATTTAAAATAAGGGTAGCTAATGCTTCACTTTCCACATCTTCAGCAACAATAAGTAAAGGTCTTTGCCTCTAAGGCCAAAATGGAAGACATACTGTTAAGCAGTGATATTCAGACTAAACTCAGAGTCAACATCCACTAAAAGGATAGGTTACCTTCAGAGCTAACTCCAAGACTTTTACCACAGCATTTAAATTTGAGATTTTCTTTTCGTGTATTAAAATTAGTGGATCCTCCAATTCCTGTAAGACGAAACAATCAAGAAGTCTATCATAATTTATAACGCTGAATAGGATGTGAAAATCTGTAAAGGTCATTATCGAAGGCTAAATGTCAAGTCCCCGAACCCAGTCCAGAAGTTAATATATGAATAGGAACATG